TTACCAGATGTTCAACTTCCTATGTATAGTTGAATACATTTTTTATTTTGAAAATTTAGATTATTTGATTTAAATAAAACAAATGTATTTTAAAGGAAACTAGTAATGATGTCTGTTCTCAATAATCTGATTAATACAAATGATATTAACTTTCTCTACTATTCTTTATTCTCAGTTTTATGTTTCTTGATTGCTAAAAATATAAGTAATGCAATGTTCAGTGTTTAAGTAATTGTTTCAAATTACCTTTTTATGGTATTATCAGCTTGTAGGCATTAATTTCTCTAATTGTCTGGTAGTAAATCTCTTATCTGGCATTTAATCTTGCCTCCCTGGAAAAACCAGACCTTACCACAGAGTAAATTTTCACATTGCTGACCCAAAGTAACAGGAGACTGTCTTGGCAGTAAACTTTTGCTTTCTGTTATTCATAGGAAGGATAATGATGTGCTCTGTTGCCTGTAGGCCCTAGTTAAACTCCAGTAATAAGTAACGTCTAAATAGTGTTTGCAAAGCTCTGTACTTGGAAATTCCAGGATGATAATTGCATTGACATTATTTTTGTTTCTTTTTGAAAAGCACAGTAATTAAAAATATAGTTTTAACAATTTTCTGCTACTTTATAAGGTAATCTTAGTTCTGTCAGCTTGACTTTAGGACCATGGTCCTCAAGCTGTGAGTTGCAACACCTTTGGGGGAGTCACATCAGATAGCCTGCATATCAAACATTTACGTTACAGTTCATAACAGTAGCAAAATTGCAGTTAGAAATTTTGAATTCATATGAAGTAGCAATGAAATAATTTTATGGTTGGGGTTCACCACAATATAAGGAACTGTACTAAAGGGTAACAGCATTAGGGACATTGAGAACCACTGTTTTAGATCATTCATACAGTAACCTAAAAGTGGTCATTAAGAATTTTTATTAATAAATATCCCCCTGTGTGTATATGTATGTGTGTGTGTCCACGCACACACTTGAGCACATACGCATAGCTAGGAGATGCCATCAATTGGGTGTCCTGATAACTCTGTTTTATTCCCTTGACAAAAAGTCTCCTGAAGCTAGTTACATGGCCATTAAGCCTCAGTAATTGCCGCTGCCTCCAGCTCTGGAGTTATAGGAGCCCATAAGCCCACACCCAACTTTTATATAGATGCTGGAATTTGAAATCAGGTTTTCTTTTTTTTTGCAAGACCTGTACATGTATTCTTATCTGCTGTGTCCTCTTCAGCCTCAGATTCTCCATTTTTTTTTTAATGAGTAGAAAGTATGAGATTAGAACATGAAGTGAAGCTCACAGATTCTTAATAATAAAGAAAAATAGATTCTTTTCTAGAGATAGAGTCCCTAAACATTTGTCGCTTATGTGAAAAAGAATGTCATACTATTATTATTTTGTAGAAAATATAAGATGTAATTTCTTAGAAATAAAAATATAAAAAGATAAGTTTAAGTTTCCTGATAATTCTAGAAGTCTTTGACTTTATCTTCTACTCTCTGGCCTTGTTAATACAAATAATTCATGTTCCAACTTTGAGGCTTGTGCTTGAATGGATTTAAACAGATATTTTATAATATCTCTATAATGTGCAATTTAACAGTTAATTAAACATTTGCTACATGTAAACATCCTTTGGGACTGGAGATGTAGCTCAGATGGTAGAGCGCTTGCCCACCATACAGCAGGCTCTGGGTTCAAATTCTCGAACCACAGGAAATGAGATGTGGTGGTACTTTCTGTGCTCCCAGAATTTGAGAGGTAGAAGAAGGAGGCTTCAACATTCACTATTATCCTTAGCTGTAGAATCAGCCCGGACTTCGTCAGACCATGTTTCAAAACTGCAAAGTTTTAAAGTGCTACAGCAATGCCGTCTCTTAAATGTTTGCTGTCTGTGTTTTCCTGCTGTGTCTTAAAAAAAAAAAAGTGCTCTAAGATTTTTTCAATGTCTAGTTAGACTATTTCAATGTAAAGCTAAATAAATTCATGGTGTTTTATGCTTAATTGGTAATACTTCTCAAATTATTCATGTGTTATTTCATTACTTTGAAATCTGAAACTTTATTTTCAGTGTGAAATTGAGCTTACAGTGATGAAAGGAATTTAACTTTTAGAATTTTAGATTTCTTGTTATTTTGGTTGGCAACTATAGCAACTTGTCACCAGATTTAGTTTAGAAATATCTCAGTTTTCTAATTATAGAGTAAAATATAAAGATCATGATCTGCTCAGCTATAGTTAGTTGAAATTAACTTTTGGAAATTATAGGGTGGTAATGCTAATTACTGTTAAACTTCTCTAGATACATAGATAAGTTTTTGGAACAAAAAACAAATGTGCATACTAAGTATCTCAATATGAATGTATAGAGAACCAGATCTCAGTCTTAATAATAGGGCAGTGTTTACGGGAAAACAAACAAAAACCAAAAGAACATTTTGAGAAATTTGGTAATACAAAGTTAGAAAAAAGGCAAGTACACACATTAAATTTCAAGTGGATGGTGACTCTGTTGAAGACTGTAGGAGAACACACTGTATTTTGAGATTTTCTTTAGAGATATCTATACATTTTTTTTAAACTAAAGACTTTTGTTTGAAGGTTTAATCAACTTTTGCTGATTTTTATTTTTCCTATCCTGGTACAAATTTAAGGAGGCAGGAGGAGTAAGAGATTTCTAAGAGCTGTTTAAAGCCACTCACTTTTATAGATAAAGGAAACCATGTAAATGTCCATTCCTATGTAAGGCAGAGCCTGTTTATAAATATGAGTAGGAAAGATTGCTCTTATTGGCAGTTCATTAGCATTTCTGGTATTATTAAATGTCAGTTTACATGCCTAGACTTTTAATAGTTAAGCCAGTTAACATATGTAAACTGTAATTATCACCTTTTAAAAGAACTTCTAATTATTTACTTAGAAAAATCTAAGAAGAAATTAAACTGATGATAATATTTAATAAGGTGTATGAATACAAAGCAAATGTATGACAGTCATACTTTTGCTATTCATCATAAATAACCATTGAATCATAGATGGATGGTACGCTCCTGTGCTCCTGTAGCCTCAGCCCTCTAGACACCAAGGCTGCATAACCAGGGTGTCTGACGGAACCAAAAATTAAAACAAAAGAAATAACCAAAAACCAGTTAAAAATAAAAGTAGAAGTAAAAGGACTTGTTTCCAATTCAAGGAAACTAAAGTCTATGAGTAAATTATCATTCATTTTATAAGAAGAAAACTGTTAAACCTTACCAAAAACATAGTTGGAGATGACTAAATATATATCTATATTAACCATGTTAGAAAGTCTATATTGTGAGGCTGTTTTGACAACTTAAATTAAAAGCATGGTGTATATTAATTATTTGGCATAACAGACTTCCAAACAGAACATCAGAAAAAACAAAGATTGCTTCACATTCTTTCAATGATGAGTCACCAGAAGGATCTTAGAGTTTTAAACATATGCTCACCAAATTCTGGTATGATCAGCTTCATAAAACAAATACTGCTACATGTAAAAGCATGGGTTAGCTGAGACAGAGTAATAGTAAGTGACTTCAATACCACATTCTCACCAGTTAAATGACATCATAAATCAGTTAACTAACAGAAAACTGCTAAACTTTTCACTGAAACAAGAATACACATTCTCCACAATCTATGGCTCATTCTCAAAAATTGACAATATATAGGATACAAAGCAGTTTTCAGTGAATACAGAAATATTGAAATAATCTATCAGTCTAATCACAGAGGAACAAAGCTATCTGTCAGTAGCAATAGAAACTCTGAGGAGTCCGATTAGTTGATATTGTTCTTCCTGTGGGGTTGCAATCCCCTTCAGTTCCTAGGTCCTTTCCCTAACTCTTCCACTGGGGTCCCCAGACTCAGTCCAATGGTTGGCTGTGGGTATCTACATCTGTCTTAGGTGTTGGCAGAGCCTCTCAGAGGACATCCATACCAGGCTGTATCTACAAGCACGTCTTGGCATCAGCAATAGTGTCTGGATGTAATGATGTGTCTGTCTGTGGATGGAATGGATCGCCTGGTGAGGGCTGTCTCTTGATGATCTTTCTTTCAGTCTCTGCTCCAGTTTTGTTCCTGTATTTCCTTTAGACAGGGGCAATTCTGGGTTAAAATTTTTGAGATGAGTAAGTGGCCCCATCCCTCCACTAGGGGAGGCATGTCTATCTACTAGAGGTGGTCTCTTCAGGTTCTATGTCCCTGCTGCTGGGTATTTTGGCTAATGTCATCCGCATTGGGTCCTGGGAGCCTCTTGCATCCTGGTGTCTGAGACTTTCTAGTGGTTCCCCAAGTCCCCCTTCGCTCCCACTACTACTTACTTCTATTCATTCTCCTGGCCCTCTGGACTTCTCTCCTGTCCCTTCCCAAACTTTTTCCTGCCCTCCCTTTTTTCCTCCCCTCCCCTCTTCAACCCAGGTTGTTCCCTCCCTCTGCTTCCTGTGATTATTTTGTTCCCCTTCTAAGTGGATTTGAAGCACCCATACTATGGCCTTTCTTCTTGTTAAGCTTCATATGGTCTTTGAGTTGTATCATGAGTATTCTATGCTTTGGAGCTAATATCCACTTATCAGTGAATATATACCATATATGTCATTTTGGGTCTGGGTTATCTCACTCAGGATGATACTTTCTAGTTCCATCCATTTGCCTAACAACGTTCGTGAAGTCATCATTTTTAATAGCTGAATAGTATTCCATTGTGTAATTGTGCCACATTTTCTGTATCCATTCTTTGGTTGAGGGACATGTGGGTTGTTTCCACCTTCTGGCTATTATAAATAAGGCTGCTATGAACATGATAGAGCCATGTGTCTTGGTTATATGTTGGAGTATCTTTTGGGTATATGCCCAGGAGTGTTATAGCTGGGTCTTCACGTAGAACTATTTCTAATTTTCTGAGGAACTGCCTTCTTAAAGGTGGTAGTGTTTCTCCCAATTAATATTTTCCTACTGTCTCAACCATAGGTTGCTACTGGCAGAGCTGTTACTGAAGACTTGGACCTCTGTGCTACATCTCGAGAGAGACGGTTTCGTTTATTTGCATCTATAGAATGTGAAGGACAGTTATTCATGACTCCACATGATTTTATTCTGGCTGTTACAACAGATGAGCCCAAATGTAAGTAAAAATTTTAAATTATCTGCATAATTTTACCTTCAGTATCATAATAATTTTCAAGAACTACCAAAGATGGTGGTAGAGTGATGGATACTAAGCAATTCTGGCCAAGTTAAATAGATGACAATAGAAATGAAGTTTGAAGAGAGAAATATCTATTTTGTAAAAATATGAAACAGTATATATATTTTAGAGTACATAACAACGTAATGTGACACCTGAAAATTCATTGCCTTATGCTGTGTTTGCAAGCAACATTTCTTTTTACCTTTTTTTGTTTTAAAATATGCATTGGTGTGAGCATGTCAGATCCCCTGGAACTGAAGTTACAGACTATTGTGAGCTTCCATGTGGTTGCTAAGAATTGCACTGGGGTCCTCTGGAAGAGCAGCCAGTGCTCTTAACTGCTAAGCCATCTTGCCTGCCCCAGCAGAATGATATTTCTTTAAAATCTTTATGTCTAACATTGAAGAATTTTTGAGTCACTCCCTCACATGTTGAACACCACCTTACTTTAAATATTCTTATAAGAGATTAACATTCTACCTATTATTTTGTGTATCCAAAAAAATATAGTAATTCAGAGGACCAGCACTGCTGTTAGCCTTGCTCAAGAATTGGGCATTTTTGTCATCTGCATAGCTCCTGAAGTATAGAGATGGGCTAGTTCTTCCCCACTTTTTCTCATGATAAAGGAGTTGTTTTCAAACATTTGGACAACTGCACATTTCTTGGAAATGCTTTATACCTAACTTAATAAAAAGGCAGTGAGATTCTTGTGTATGGTTTTGTATCTAACCCGTTTTAATATGTGCTTTTCAATAAAGTGTATAAAGAAAATGCACCTCACAGATACAGGTGGTTAGGAAAGGGAAAACCACTTTCATTGTGTCTTGTGGCCTTGGGTATTCTCTTTGGCTCTGCCACAACTTGTTTGTGATATTCAGGCTTTCAAGCTCTCCAAGATGGCAGTGAAAGATTCTCTTGTATGAAAGGCCTTGGGTTAGATTAACTGGATGGATGGCTTGTAAGAATAAGGTTGAGGAGGAAAAAAACAGCACTAAATTTTTCACTGATGTTTCTGAGATGTACTGAATATGTAGAAATTGGATTTATCTAGTTTCAGCTCACTGAAAGATAATTCATTAAAAATTAATGTATCAAATAAATTGACTATCATTTCATAAAATTTCTCATAAATTTATAGCCATTTATTTCCTCCATAGCAAAACCAAACTTAAGTTTTCAATAATTTGGCAAAAGTGTACAACTAGCTTTTAATGGTTTCTTTTCCACTCAGTTCTGGGCATTGGATCCAGGCTTTGTCTATGCTGAGCCAGTGCTTTTCTGATGAGCTTTGTAGAAGGTATCTCTTGTGCACTGTGTGGAAACATCACCTGTCAATAAAAAGCCAATGGCAGGAAGTAATGGGTGGGAGTTCCGGTAGAGAGATTGGAACTTTGGGAGTTAGACAAGAGCTGGGGACTTAGCTCAGGACTCTGAGGAAGACAGACACTGAAACGGAGGAGTAACTAGCCTCATGGCAGACGGAGAACAATTCCAATGGGATAACTGAGTTATGAGCTAGTGGGAACGAGCCAAAGCTTAGAGCCTAGGGATTTATTTATAAATAATTAAGTTTCAGAATTATCATTTCAGGAACAAGGGGAAATGGGTGGAAAACCCTGAGCTTACAAAGTTTCATTCCAAACCTCAATGAATTGACTTTTGGTGCTTTGACTTCTGACAGTGAAGTCCAGGGAGAGGTCTGCACATACATATTTGGGATTTGTCAGTACATGATTAGTAGTTCATGCTATATATATTGAAATTGTCCAGAGAAACAATGTACTATTTTAGATGACCAAGAGCTGATTCTTGAAGAACTCTTGTTCATTAAAAAGAAAAGTGTACAAATGCTGGAAAAGAGTAAGCCGCAAAGAAACACAAGAAATATACCAGAATGGTATAGAGTCATAGAGACCAAAAGGAAATGTCTGGGGTGGGCAGTGAGTGGGCCAAGATGGTGAGGACAAAAGAGAGTCCAGACTTAGTAATAGGAAGGTTGCTGATACTTTTTAAATCTGACATTTCAGGGAATTGACTAAGACAAAACTAGGTGGCAGAGTGAAATGATAAATGAAGAAATGAAGGCTCTGACAGGGAAAGGAAACGCAGCTGGACTGGAATTTGATGTAGACATTGATCATACAAGATTTGAACCCAAAATCAACTTTAAAAGTAGAAGTTGATTTTTTTGACTAGCAGGAAAGTGCTGAGAACACACAATCTAGAGAGTAATAGTGTAGTTACAGTTAGCCACTGTGGAAATATGGAGGGCAGAAATGGCTGAAAATTAAATAGGGCTCTTTTGAATAGTAATTATAAGGCTAAGATAAGATTTATAGCCCTTTGACTTAATTGACTTGCTATAATGTGGGTTCTCTAGTCTTTATTTTTAAGTAGTCTAATAATTTTATTAATATGAAAATAATAGTAACCTTATGAAATATATCTTGCAAGTAAATTGTGTGACTAGCAGCACAGAGCCAGCTTTGAATTCATAGTCAAGATAGTTAACATCTTTGATAAAATGTTATGACAGTCAATAGTAAAATGCATTTAAGGATTTTCTCAATAATTGTAACTCAAATATTAATTGTAAAATATACCAGATTGTTAGTCTTAATTTTTGGAAACTAAAAATTATCTTATTCTTCTCTTTAGAATAAAATCTGAAAAGTAAGTTTTCTTCTAGGATTAGACTATAGACTATGTCTTTATTTTCCTATACTCAAAAATAATTTTAATTTATATTTTAGAAATACTATTAAAATATTTCAGATACAAAAATTATCACAGATATGATAAGCATCAGTCTACAACTTGAGGAATAAAATATTTCTAATAGACTTAATGCCGCTCTTTAACTGCTATTTTATACACTCAGTGATTTCAAATGAAATAAAAAATTTAGAAAGTCAGCACACCCTTTGAAGACTTATCTTAACGGCTCTTTAGATTTTATTGCTTTAACAGCTAATAATATTGAACATGGTACATTTCCTGCAGAATGAGTATGTCTTTTGTGAATAATCTACTGTGAAAATCTTATAAAACCACAGACTCAAGAGTCAATCTAACTTCCTCACTGGCTAAATAGTCTGTGAGCATTGCATAAGAGCATGTCCATGTCTTTGTGAGGGATTTTTTAATACTCTTTCAGAACTGTTACTTCATTGTTCTAGTCATTAAAAAGAGCCATTGCAAAATTATATGTACAGTATCATAATTAAGGTTACATGCAAAATTCCTGTGATCTTACTGCTTGATTACTTGGGTAAAGATTTTGTTATGAAATAGAAGAAAAATTGATCTCTAAAAAAATTAGTTTTCAAATTTTATAAAATTATTTCCTCACTTTTGATCTCAAGATGAGTTAATATATTTATTACCTTCAAGAGAGAGAGTTGCATCACAGTGTGTTCCTTATAATTTTAAATTCAGTATACTATTAGTTATACAGAGTTGCTATGTAGAAACAAATATTGATAGTTCACCAGTTTTCCTAATGCAAGGATACTGTAGAACTTAACTGCTACCAACTTGGAGACAATTCTTACCACTTACAATGGTAGAATTTGAACAAAAGAAACAACATAGTTGGCTATGCATCTGTCCCAGCACTTTGGTGATTAAACTGAAATATTGACACGATAAAAAAAAGTGGTATTTTATTCAGCTACCACACTTTTACCCTACAAGACTAAGTCTAGAAGGAAGAATTCAAACTGGATAAGAACTTCCGTTCATTTGATGAGTGCTCTTGTTATGTCTTCTTCTCTTTGCCTCTGTCATTTTTATCCTGAACAGACCTCCCCTATGAATTATTTCCTGAAATACTAATGCATTTGATTCCAGATTAATGTTTTATAAGTATCATTAAATATGTCAGAAGTATCCTTTAAGTCCCATAAAATAGTTGTAACTTAACTTACCTTATGTTATGGGAACATAACATAAAAATTCCCATGACACTGATTTCATTGATTATATAAAGTTACTGTATTAGAAACAAATAACATGAAAAGAGTATATCTTAGATTCAAATATTGAGTGTAAAAAAAACCTTTTCCTTTTGAACATAAAAGCTTAATTTTGAGATATGGTTATATATGGTTACTAAATTTGGATATACATTACATACAATATTATCTAATTATTTTATATTTATTTTAGTTGCTAAAACGTGGAAGTCACTTTCTAAACAGGTAAGTTAAAGCTCTTGGTATACAACATATGCATGTACACAACACATGATACACACATGTGTAAGCACACATGCACATTATCTGATTCTATATAATTATGTGTTTTTATATATGTGTGTGGTTTTTATAAATAAAAGTCATATAATGGTGGTATTTTTAATCTTCATAATGTCAGAAAGTAAAGAAAGTGGGCTAGTAAAGATAAAGGTTAATGGTAATTGTAATGCATGAGTGTAAATTAGTAACTCTTATTTAGAAACAATTAGCATTTTCCATTCAATTGAAAATATACAGACTCTATGCCCAACAGTTCCATCCCTGAGGTTAAATTCTACATCAACATATTCACATTAAAGTCAAATTTTATCTGCTTTATGACTAGGTGATTTCACATAGAAATTCATAACTAGAGAAGCCATCAGTTACATAGAAAAAGAGGGTCAGAAGTTCATAGGCTGGTCATGTGATTTAAAAGGAAAAAAAGCACATGGATAGTAGACTTAAAGGGGAGTGAGATGAAAGTGCTTAAGGATTCAACCACAGTTGGCAAAACTAAGGGATAAATTAACATAACGTTCAAGCAATAATAACCTCTTGGAGAGATGGAAGGGACTGTCATCGGGAAGGACCACAAAGTGGCTTCTAATGTACTGATGATCGGCTATTTTTAATTTCCTTTCTCAAAAGCCTCTAATGGCAAATGCGTGCTTACTTGTGAAACTTGAGAAACATTGTCTTTACAGTTAAACATAATGTAAAGGTGCATGGTGTCACAGCCAGAGAATTGTCTACGTCATGAGCTGAGAATTCTAGATTGTCCTGATAAAGGACCACAGCTTAGTGACTTAAACAGCATTATTGTCATGCAATACTGCAAACTAAAAATGTAAGATCTGGAACATTAGCAAGTTGGTTTCTTCTGGCTTTTCTCCTTTTCTGTGGCCATCTTCTCACTGTTTCCACTTGGTCTTTCCTCTAATAACTTAGGAAGATCTCAGATGATGAAATTAGTGATATCTCTGAAAGGCCTGTCTCCAAAGAAGCCAGGCTTCTATACTGCACTGTGACCATAAAACATACTCTGTCGGGGAGAAAAAGGAGGAGAAGATGGCGAAGGAGGGAGAGTAGGGTTAGGACTAAAATAGTAACAGGTAATACAATTTTAAAAGTTCATATCTAATAAGAGTTTTGCAAGTACTACTATATATAAAAATAAAAGAATCAAAGTTACTAACATGCTGATAATAATTGTAAATTGATACTAGCAGTTAGAAAACTGTATCAAGATATATTGCACAATAGCCACAAAATCTATCAGATATTCTTACATGTACCATCTTAGTTACTTATTACTTAACTTACTTAGTTACTTTTCTGTTTCTGTGACAAAACACAATGACCAAGGAGAGAAATTACTTATGGATATGGACAGCAACGGTAAACATGTAGATAGTTGTAAAGCAAAGGAATGGCAGCAGAAAGGGCTGAGAGCCGTCATCTTGATCCAAAAGTAGGAAGCAAAGAGTTAACTCAAAGTAGCACAAGTCTTTGGAAACCTCAAAGTCCATGCCCAGTGATATATATTTCCTGTAACAAGGCTATACCTTATTTTTTTTTTAAGATTCATTTATTTAATGTATATGAGTACACTGTTGTTATCTTTCAGACATACTCTAAGAAGGCATCAGATACCATTAGAGATGGTTGTGAGCCACCATGTGGTTGCTGGGGATTGAACTCAGGACTTCTGGAAGAGCAGCCAGTTCTCTTAACCACTGAGCCATCTCTCCAACCCCCAAGGCCACACCTTCTAATGCTCCCCAAAGAGCCATGAACCAGAAACCAAAGATTGAAACATGATGCTCTGAGAGCAATTCTTATTCAGACCACTGTGTTCCATTCCCTGGCCCTCATGACCTCTGGTGGCAATATCATAATGCAAAATCAATTTAGTCCAACCTCAGACATCCTCGTGCTCTTTCTGTCTCAACTCCATTTTAAAGACCAAAGTCTAACATCTCTTTTGAGACTCAAGATAGTCTCTTCCTGATAACCACCTGTAAAATCAAAAGCAAATCACATACTTCTGACATACAGAATATACATTGCCATTCCATCTTGAGGCCTTGTAGCATAGTGAAGAAATTAGCAAAACTGAAACCCAGAGGGGCACCAGATCCTGTAGCTTTTTGCTTGGTATCTGAGGGCTGAAATGGCTCTGTCCTTCCAGCTTGGCAGCCTGCACCAAACTTTTCTCTTGGGCTGGTTCCATTCCATGTTGGCAACTCTCCTTGGAAGATATCTCATGACTCCAGCACATTTAACATCTTTGGTTTCCAACAAAATCCAGGCTTCACTTTTACAGCTTCATACAATGGCCTTTCAGGGCCTTCATGCTAGGACAAACCTGTCACATAGTGCCTGGCCTCAACTGTTCTCCTCTTTAATACACAACAGTATAACCCCTGTATCCTTCATGACTTGAAAGCCATGGCTAGGCTGCCAGGCTTCACCACCCGCTGGGATGGAGTCCTTGAGTCACATTGCAGCAGTGTTCCTCTGCTGCTGCTTTTAAGGAGGGGGATTTTTTAGGTCTTTTCCCTTTGCAAGTTGAAACCTGATTGAGACCTCCCCCTGAGGACACCACTCCCCTTATTTATTTTAGATCAGGCCTCTCCTCAGTAATATCTCTTCCAGCACAAGCCTTGACTTGACATTAAATGTCCTTATGTTATTCTTCTCTTCCAACTGTACATGTCATATTTCTTTTGCCCTACTTGTGGTTTTTCATTGTAGACCTACATAATAGTAATTCCAAATGACCATGTGATGGAATCCATATTAGGCTGTCTTGAAGTCTCATCTGCCAGAAAAAAAATCAGTCCGTTACTTTTTAATGTAGCCCAGGAGAATTCTTAGGACACGAGCAGAAATCACCAATTCTGTTTCAAAATATCACAGAAATGACCACTGGTTCAGTTGTTTCCCTTAGAAGTCTCTATGGCTGGGCCTCCATGGTCCATGTGGTTTTCATGACTGTCTTCTAGGTTTCTACTAGGGTGGACCATTAAGACCTGTTTACTCAACCACTTTGCTAGTCCAGAACCCTAAAACCACATGGTAAGGAATGTCATAGGAACAGCCCACTCTATGGTACAGCTTCTGTTTTAGTTACTTTTCTATTACAGTAACAAAGTACTATGAATAAGATAACTTATAAAAGAAAATGTTTAAGTTTATGATTCCAGAGGGTTCAAGTCCATGACGACAAAGCAAAGGCATGGCATCAGGAACAGCCGAGAGTACATCTTGATCTAAAAGGTAGAGAACTAACTCACAAACATCTTAAGATACCTCAAATCTGGTTCCCAGTGACATATTTTCCAGCATGGCCACACCTCCTGTCTTCCCCAACCAGCCACCAACTGGAACTCAAATATTCAAACATGAGTCTATGGGGCCCATTTGTATTCAAACCACCACATAACGTACTCTTAGCAGAGTATTACAACATTTTATAATTGTCTTTCAAGCAAAGGAGTAAATATATAATATCATGTTCATGAGTACTAAACTATTTATGATACTTATGTTGAAATTTATCTATACATTAGTGTTAATATTAGTCTTACTCTAATATAATTTGAACAAAACAGATTTTAGTTTTTACTTTTTAAAACATTTGAGTAAGAACTCTAAAATATTTAGAATGGTTTTGAAAAGGAAATAAAGAGGCGATAGAGATGAGAGCAAGGAATTCATATTATTAGAAGAGTGATAAAGATTAATAGTAGATTGATCATTAAAATAACATGTATCATTACAAGGATTTTTTTAACTAGATAAAGATAAAAGAATAATAGGTAATATAGTAATCCAGAAACAGATCTAGGCATTTTAGGGAAGATCTGTAAATCAGTAGAGAACAGAGTGATGCTCCAATTATGTGAAGAATAATAGGCTTTCTATGGGTGTTTTATCCTCAGAACCCACCACCATATATAAAAGCTAATTACAAATGAGTTTGTTTTTTTTTTCTTCAAAGCATCATGGTTAGTAACTTTACTCTTCATAGAAAAATATTTTATAGGCTTAGAAGAATAAACACATCATAATATAGCACTGTAACTATCTACTATAGAAAATCATTTCAAATTTATAAAAATACAGTAATCATGACAGCATAGATGCCAGTAATGTTCATTTTTTACTAGTGATTCATTCACATATATGATGATTATGTTTAAATAACTATTATATATCAAATACTATCAGATATATAAGTAAATTTATAGTCTACTGAACAGTTGGTTGTAACTATAAACACTCGTAAATGTTAACATACCAGTGGTTGCTAGTACCAAATAATATCTTCTCATTCAGCAGTAATGGAGAGAAGTAAGAAGTTCTAGGGAACTGGAAAATAGAATTGTAGATGCTCATTTTTGTCTTTGCTTTTAGTTGTATTTTTTATCCTCAATTCTCAGGAGTATACCTCAATCCACATAACCATAACTTGGGTCCAGAACTGAAGATGTCTTGCATTTGGGACCGTTATAAAGTATAACACTTGTTTGCTTGTGCAGAAGAAAAGAGGACAGTGGAAGCAGTGGAAGCAGAATGCCAATGGTGCAAGTGACACCCAGAAATGCTTTTCTTAAAAATTTAGAGAATTGCAAAGTAGTACCTTCTCTGTTGCCTTCAAAATGTAATAAAAATGATAATTTCTGTGCACCCAAGTCTCAAGTCCTACCATCTTAGAATTTCAAAGAAAAGAGTAAACTCTCCTCATAGGTACAGCTTAGCTGAAAGATCAGGACTGAGTATCATGCTTTCCATGTGTGGAATAGGTTAGACCCAAATGTACAATTAAGGACATTCTTATACTGAAAAGGGAGGCTCACTTCCTTAAGAAAGGGATTGATACTTGTACCCCACCAAAGAAAATAATTGTTTAGAAAAATATATGTAATTATCGTTGATAGAGTAAATGTCAAACGCTTTTATGCAGTTCTAAAAGAAGTCTGTAGTGCTCCAACTCAAAAACATGTTTAAAGAGTGTCACAATAAATATAGACTTGCCTCCTGAAGGAGCAAGAAATCACAAATCCACGTTCTCTGTGTCAGTTGGGTTTTTGTTTTGGTTTGGCTTTAATATTGTGTTTTTATTTATGGTTAAAAATTTTAAACGGTGAAAAGCAAACATTGAAAAACACACAACAAGATCTTTTTAGACAAGATACATGAAACAAAGCTTAAAGGAAATTACTGGCAAATTTTACTAAATTAAATATTTAAATTTTCACTAAACAACACTAAAAGATACTTGATGCATAGGAAAATGTTCTTGCAATTTATTATCCAAAAACAACTTTAAAAGAGGATTTTATAGTCAGGTAGAACTGGTGTAAGTTGATATTAAAATGATAATCATCTCAATAGTAAACAAATGGACAACCATAGCTAGAGTAGCTAATAAATACATATAAAGGGGCTTAACTCACTAATAACCAAAGACATGCAAATTAAAGCAATATGTCCTATTTCACACCTACCAGATGGCTAGCTTCCAGAAATGTGAGTGTCAGTAATGAACAAGGGCATGAAGGAACCAATTGAAACGATAGATGATGTCTTCTCTTGGGGGAAGGATTTGTTAATGGCTGATGAAATTCACAGTGTATGTATGGGATCCTATTTATAGATACATATGCTATAGAAATGTTTAAATGTTTATACTTAATGTTCATGTCTCTTATAACAATGAATGAAAGAGAAAGAAATTAGCAAACCAGTATTGTCATTGGGGAAATGGATCAAGTAATTGTAAACCAGCATACCATAGATAACATAGCAGTACAAATAAAATGAGTGTGTTAGAGTGTATGTATCCAGCTTTAGACCCAACAGATATTGCTGAGCAAGCAGCAGGTGGTAGGATGCGGCTGTTTTCTAGGACCTAGGAAATTGATTGCCCTGATTGTGAGGCGCTATCTGTTTTACTCAGACTCATTCTCTCAGAGGTCTCAGTAGAGTTCTCTAAGGGCAGGATGATGACTGAGGCCCTCACTCTTGGCAAGTGATCCGACGGATGGCTGTGTATGCTTATATTTAAGATTATTTGTTTTTTACATTAATAAATAAACATTGATGAATACAATACAGACAAACATGTTTTGTGTCCTTAGTAATTTAAAAATGTAAACAGCTGATTTTCAAAAGTGCTGTTCTAAATAGCCACTTTAAAGGCATTAATATCAAAATTAAGGCTAATTGCCATAAAGATATATGCCATGTTATGGCATAATATCCATATTATGTAAAAGGCAAAGAGTAAAGTAAGTATAAAATAGCATTAAGAGAGTAGAGAATTAATATTTACAATAAAAATGCTGTATAAAATGTCTATGTGAGGGTTCAATTAAAAGACTATTAAATAAAATGGAAGATTGCTTTGTCTTTGAATGTTATTTTTCTTTTCTGAACCTACAATTTTCCTGGAGCAAATAGAGGCATGTACTATGATTTAAAAACTATACTTAAAATTATCTAAGTACTTTAAAAACACCTGTAACATTAGAAAAGTAAAATTAATTCAGCAAATGTGTATTTGTTCCCTACTTGGAATCCTGCAGTGTAATTCTGACATTATACTCCCCAGAGTAGTATCTGATTCCACAGTGTGAAGATGCTTTCTTTTCTGATGTGTACCACAAGCTCAGAGGTCTCCCAGCTGCCACACTCTAACCTTACTGGTTACAGTTCAAGGATTTTCCTAAAACTCCCATTTGGTTTAGTAATGAGTGAAATGACATATGGAACTTAGAAAGTGCTATGGCTGTAACAAAGAACATAAAGTAAGCCAGCGTACATGAAGAGCATTAGATGTGGGGGCGCACTGGCAATGTCTGTGCCACCTCCATGTGGAACAGGGCGTGTTGCTTCTCCCAGCATCTTCATCGGGCTCCAGTGAGCATCCTGCCTAGACTTGGGTTTATTTCTGAATTGTAAGTGAGTAAATGACTGATCCTGTGCTTGCCTCCCAGTCTCTGCCTCTCCTGATTCCCTTTCTTCTAGTGACCAAGGACCATGTTTAGCTATTTCCTTAGTGAACACTGAAGCACGACTCATGGGTTGGGTCTTCATCCCAGGAGCTGCAGACAAAGGCCAAATTCATTTTATGTAGCACAGGAGTATGTAGAAAAGATAGATATTGAGAGTGAGGAAACAAATTGTCAGCATGAGTGGATATACAAAGCTTTTAGTGAATGCTAAAATATTTTTTAATTAAAAAAATTTCTTGAAGTCAATGAATATCATTTTCTATAATTTGCTACTATGTGCCTCACAGGCAGATTACTTATCCAGTTTAGGTCTGAGTTAAAATATGTGTGAGGATTGCTTAGTAGACTTAAATGATCTATTATGAGTTCATTGTTAATCACATGGGGACCCTTAATAAAGGTAATTGATTTTTAAAATCAGAACAGAGATTAGGGGACATAGTTGTAATGGGAAAAATAATATTTTTACAACAAATAGTATAAATTTAATTATGTAAAATGTATTGAAGATTTCCTTAATTCCTTACTGTAACAATATTTTTTAGTTTTGCCTAAGTGGCAAACATCCCAGTTTCTCATTATCATTGATGCCTGCAATCTGACCTGTTTGCCATGGTCCCTGTCAGATAGTCCCTGTCATGTGCAGCATCTGTTACTTGTAGTGCACCTAAAGCTCCAGGCAGGAACTGAATGCTGGAGTCTACACATGGGCTTCAGGAGTCAAAAAGCTCCTAAAAATGATCTGCTTTTCACATCCCATGGATACCTTAATTTTCTGATACCTCAGTTTTACAGTTTAAAATCCTGTTTATAAACATCACAGAGCACCTTCTAGACCCCACTCATGGGAAAGTCTATTTGAAGTATTCTCAAACTTGAATGTGCAAAGAAATTACCTGGAAGTCTGGAAAAAACCTGAGTCTAGTTCAGAAAGTCAAAAGGAAATGCTACTCTGCAGTTCTATAAGCTTCTAGATGACACTGGGATTATTGGAAACCACAGTGTAACAAATGAGGATCAGATCTAGAAATAGAAGTGGTTTCTGCATTAAAAATGGGTTACTAAAAATATATTACTGATAAAAGTAGTTTTTAAGCTTCAAATTTTTTCATTATTTTACCAAATTTTTTCACTGGTTTTCTTCACAGTCAACCATATTATAGTTGTTGCTTTGTTAATTTTATTTGTTGTAGAATATGCATAATATATTTAAATATTTTATATAAGCAATAATTCAACTGTTTAAATTCTCAAATGATTTCTCATCAGCAGTGATAATTTACTTATAGAAAGATGAGTATAAATTAATATTCCCAGTTTACCCAGTATTAAGATTCTTCAAGTCAACATTAAAATTCTCTATTCATTTCTAGCATCTTCTTTTACTCATTTGTTTCTTTTGCTTGAACTCAGATAAATCCAGGCAAGCAAAAAAGACGAATGTGGAGCCAGCTGGTCACCTGACTTTAATGAGGATATCTACGTGCAGTCCCTTTGTCCCTTGCTCCAGAACCCAAGCTTGCTGTTTTATCTTAACTTAGTCATCTTGGCTATATGCATCTAGTTAGGAAATTTATCTCAAGTTTTGAATAACTCTAATTAAGTTTAATACAGCATCTTTACTATTTATTTTATAAATTTATTTACATTTATTTATGTTATGGGCAAATATTGTGGTGGAGTGAAGCATAGGTACTGAATATAATGATTAATATTAAATTTCTGATCATTTAAATGGAGAATTTCTTGGAAAGGATGCTTACATTTTTTATAAGATTCATGTTGTAAGAACGTGATTTGACTGCTAATCAGTATTCCAATCTTTTTTTATAGGAATTAAGTCAGATGCTCTCAGAAACTCCACCAGTTTGGAAGGGATCATCAAAGCTTTTTCGAAATCTTAAAGAAAGAGGTAAGCTAATGTGCCTATGCATTTTAGTATTGATGTAGATTTAAAATTGCACATGTTTATAAATATACATTTACTAAATGTATATTATATATTTAATGATATATATATACATATATGTAGTAACACCTAATGCAAAAGTTTCTATTTTAGTAATGTTATTTTGCTATAGTATGATTAAGAACTATGTTATCACTACACACACACACACACACACACACATATATATATATATATATATATATATATATATATATATATATATCATCACCTCCTTAGCATCATTATATTTACCCATACTGAAAAGCATTTTACATTTGATCATAGAAAATACTTTTCAAAAATATTAAATATTTAAGTACTAGTTTTCTCCATTTTGCTTCTAGGGAATTAATAGTTATTTCTTCAGTTAATGGCTACACAAAACTTTGGGGTATTTTTTTAACAGCCAAATTTGAAATACAACACTCAGTGTAAAAGCTTTCTGTTTCTGTATCCATAAGGTGGTTGGTTATGTGAACATTGGCTTGTTCTCAAGTTATGTGGCATATCTAGGTATTATGGCACATGTCTATAAGCCCAGTGTTGGGAAGGCAATTGAAAGATCAGGCATATAAGGCTAGCCTTGGCTACATAGTAGGATCAAAGCTATCCTGTGTTACTTGATGCCTTGATTAAAAGAAAAGAAGCGCCTGGCAGTGGTGGCACACGCCTTTAATCCCAGCCTTGGGAGGCAGAGGCAGGCGGATTTCTGAGTTCAAAGACAGCCAGGGCTATACAGAGAAACCCTGTCTCGAAAAACCAAAAAAGAAAAAAAAGAAAAGAAAAAGAAAAAAGTCTTGGTTTAATTGCAGTTTTCTTTTATAATTTCCCAATTTTTCATGTGGAATCTGAATGAAAGACACGTGTCTTTTTATTGTGGACATCTCTTTTTAACTAGGATTTAAATACTGGGTTCAAGCACATTAAAATAGTCCTTGGAGAACTGGGCATGGTGGTACATTTCACTAATCTCAGCTTCTCTACAGCCTGAAGAAGGAAGATTTTTGAGTCTGAAGCCAAACTACACTCCATAGCAAAGATTTATCTCACAAACAAACATAATCATAGAAAATTTATTCATATTTTAGGGTGAGATAATAGAATTGGAAATGTTTAAAACTCAAAAGGAATAGGTAAATATAATGAATTTAAAATTTTTTACCTTAATATATCTTATAAGAAAATATAGATTGGACCAAATATAATTGAGGACAACAAGAAGAAAGCCAAATGCATGGAAGAAGGAAATCCATTTTCCCTAAGAAAAGGTTAAACCATGGTCTTAATGAGAGTTTAGAGCCAGCTTGTTAGATGTTAGAAAAACACTGAACTACTTAATTTACATCTATATGAAGATTAAATGGTGGTGAATTTTTAAAGCTAAATATTTAAAGCTACTAAATAATAATTTAAAATGGATTTTGTCTTCCTAGCTATTACTTAGTAAAAAATATTAAGCAACTTCTTATGAAAGCAATATGTAACACTTAGGAAAACATAATGGATCAAGAAATAGTAATTTAATGATGTCATGCTTTTTTGGGGGGGGGGGGTTTCGAGACTGTTTCTCTGTATAGCCTTGGCTGTCCTGGAACTCACTCTGTAGACCAGGCTGGCCTCGAACTCAGAAATCCGCCTGCCTCTGCCTCCCGAGTGCTGGGATTAAAGGCGTGCGCCACCACCGCCCGGCCCACCCTTTACTTTTAAAGACTGTCCCACTACTGTATTAGTAGTATTTGACTTTGTTACTTTTTTGTCCTGGGTGGCCTTAAGTAAATCAAAGGATTGATCTTCTAATTTTCTTCTGGTTTCATATGTTTATCATTAGGAAGGACTGAGTCTGTAGTCCATCTTCAGCAGTGTTTTCTCTTTCCTTGACCATTTCCATTTAATTATATCACGTCTTTCTCCCTTCCTATGTGCATATTAAAGAAATCAGTATCCAAGTAGCCCTACAGACAAGTGCTGGCTATGACTCTCTGCATTCAAGGATTCCTCCTGTTAAGTAATCCTGAATGAGGGAAATCTTGAATTAATTATCAATTATATGGCATTATAAAACTTCTTTATATTAACTATAATACTTTGTCATACTCTAAGTGAATCAGAGTGGTAAAAGAACTCGTAAATAATTGTGTCTTTAAAGCCGTTGACCATTTCATAATCTTTCTCCCATACATTCATGGCAGTCATCCGGAACTATCTGTGTATAGGTAACAATATTCTAGTATAAACAAGACAGAATGCTTTCAGAGCCTCTTGGGTAGTTCCCTTGATGTCTGTGACAGACTATCTGACAGTGACTCCTTGTCTCTTTGTTCTATAACAAGGAGTTAGTGGAGCTTTGAAGAACAACAGATAAGTGGAGATCTGAAGACCACAATGTATTTAAGATTTTTTTCCATACCTTTTACCAAACATCAAGTGTGACTACAATCTAGGGAAATACTATAGACTTATTCCTGAACTTAATTCTTCCAGTCTTTCTTGGTCAATTAAGCAAAACGAGTAGTGAAAAGTGCAGTAACAGTATATTTATTTATTTCATACAAATTCTTGGTGAAACTTGTAATTATAGGGTACAGAGAATTCATGATGCAGAAAACATAAAGTGAGGGCAATTGGGAAAAAACTTAGAGTCAATTAAGGATAAAAGCTGTTATAAAATTAGCAAATGACCATTTGACAGAAAAAAAAAGGTAAGTGTAAGGTTTTAGTTTTAAATGTTACACATCAAATTTCTAAACAAGTATAAATTTTTATTCTAGTGTCACTAAACAGTGACTAAGTTCTTCATTGCATTTCTGACATCCTTATGTTTCATATAATAACAAGTAACAAGTTTAAAAGTTAAGCTATAAATAAACATTAGCATTTTACCTTTTTTGCCAATATATCTATCATAAATGGAAACTTTGTAGGAATTTTTAAAGAGGCATGTGTAACAATTTAAGTAAAATGAATGTTGCTACTTTTGTAATGATTTTATAATATAGTAGTCTCATTTAAAACATTATTTAGCATATGCCTTAAAACTAAATTAGTCATAGTTTTTATTGTATACAGTATTTTACTTTGTTGTATGTCAAAGATAAGTTAGTATTTTTAAATCATAATTGATACTGTTTTCTTCTAGGTGTGATTTCTTACACAGAATATCTTTTTCTTTTATGTATTTTAACAAGTAAGTATACTCATTAAATTGATTTCTATATGTATTTTTCCTTATGATCCTAAAAATGAATCTCTCTTAGCATACTATTGTAAGTTACTTTATGTGTATGTTGGCTGTTTTACAAATTCATGCCTAAATATCACAGGAAAATGTTAAGTATAACACTGTAATGGTCAAAAACCTATATACTTGGCTTCTGACAATAATAAAATGTTCATAAATTATAAAAATATATATAACTCTGTGGTGTTTCAGCTACATGAGACCCTCAGCTACATGAGACCCTAAAGGTCAGAATTTATTCTAATTTATCAAGTTTGTATTGTATACATTTAAGCCAGGTTTCCTGCAATTCTAATGGGAAAGATTAGTAGGCTTTGAGCCTCTTAACATCCTATCATCTGTCCATGCACTGGTTTGCTCTCCCTGGCACATGCAACAGTATTTATGAAATACATAGCGGGTTTACTAAAGCTCGGGTTCAGGTCTCATCATCCAGTAGAACAAATTGTGTGCTGTACTCACCGTGCTTCAGCCTCCAGGCTTTACATTTCTGGAACCCCTTCCCGTGGAGGACATCTGCTCTTGAGTGCAGCATTGTCTGCCCTTGAGCTGTCAGCGCTTCTCTCTAGAGCTTCCTGGGATTGTATCACTCAGGCTTCCTTTCAAAACGCAGTCCTCACGTAAATCCAGTCTTCAGTGCTCTCTTTTAATCCCTTCATCATGTTTTATTTTCTTCATAGAATTTAGATTATTGGAAATTATGTTTTACAAGGTCAGTCTTTCCACACTGCTGTGAAAGGTCTGCAATGTCAAAATGCTACCCTCTTTTGGGACATCTGTATCACAAACAGTATCTTATTCACAGTGTGCTTTCAGAAAATAATTGGTGAATGGAAAAAAAAAAACAAGGAAGAATTCACTTTAGGAAATTTCAGATGATGAAATCAGGAGATGTGTACAAATGAGCTCTAGTAAAACTCACTTTAAAATTCTGTTTCTATACTTAGAACATTTATACTACTGTGCTAGTTATGAATGATATAGCAGCAGAAAGAGGGGTGTGAACATGTGAATATATATATGTATGTATACATATATATGTCAAATGTATCTTTTATTTTTTTCTTGTGTTGTTTAATTCTCTCATAATGAGAAAAAGTTGTGTTGGAAAACAAGTATTCTGCTATTCATAGTAGGGCCACCTGAGATTTATATTTAGCTTGAAAACTATTTGATGATGCCAGTATAAGTCTATGATGAGACTTATTTTACATATATTCATATACTTTTTCAAAATCTTTTAAATGTAAAACTTGCTTTTCACTTGTGGTATCAGTAGTTGTGAAAGATAATAACAGTAAATGCAGATTCCTACAATATTTATAAAAATAAGATATCATAAAGCACTAGCTTCCATTGATTATTTCCAGAGACAGTTCTGGATGGGTTAAGAAAGTAGGGCTATCTGCTTCTTCACAAAGTTCAGGACTTCATATCAGACTGGTTAGTTTACCTGGAGATGGGGCATTCAGATTTTTTGCTAGCCATTTCAAATGACAAAGGTCAAGTAAGTTCATAAGCATGGCAGTCTTTCTCAAAAAGATAATTGATTCTTCGATATTGGAAGGCCTGGGACTACACATTCACACATTTTATAAAACCTTCTGGCTTTTCAAGCTTCTAGAAATTAACTCCAAATCTGTACCCTCTCATGAGCACATTTATTCCCTGGTAATTTCAGTTACATTTTTTTCTGAAGAATTGGAACTGGTGCATTGTATTATATTTTTACTCTTTTTTTGCCACTTCAAGTAGTTGAACATAGTTCAATTTAAAAAATAAAAAAATCAGATGCAGTGACCTCATGATGTCTTGTTAACAAATAAGCAGAATTTGGATATTTATTTTTAAAGGAACAGCTGTCAGATATTCCTTTAATATAATACAGGAAGTTATAGGTACTTAGAAAGCTTATTGTCAGTTCTGTTATTGAGTCTGCAGTACATAAAACAGAAATATCTATTCTTCAAAATAGCTCTCATTGTATATAACCTATACTAACATGTTACTTTGCATTTTGTGCAGTGTATGTATCTAACTGTCGAAAGCATGAATTTTGTACTTTTAAGTCTTTTTTTTGTAATCTTATGAAAATTTGTTCTGAATTTTGTTCGTTCGTTTGTTTCTGGCAGAGCCCCATGCAGGTTTTAGAATAGCTTTCAACATGTTTGACACTGACGGAAATGAGATGGTGGATAAAAAAGAATTTTTGGTGGTATGTACATTGTATGCTGCATTTTTCTAAAGACTAAATATTGCTCACTTATATTGTTATGCTTTGTGTTAAGACTTATGGAAATAAAAGTTATATTGAGTGTTTAAAGATGACTACAGTCAGATGTTTGGAATTTATCACATACTCTCTACTCAATGGGAAAAAGGCAGTCCTGAGATTATGTCTTTCCAGCTAATTCTCAGTTTTTGTCACAGCTCCTTGCCATGGGAACTGTTCTTTATTAGTTTGGACTCATCTTCCCATTTTCTGTTTTCTTCTGTTTCCCATTACCTTATAGTTCACGTGTGGACCACTTCCTGCTCTTTTCCTTTTCTTTGACCTCTGCTCCTCCTGTCTGATCTGACAGTGACTTTTAGTTGCTTTGTCATTTTCCCATCTCCCCTTCAATTCTTTTTTACTTGTGTATACTACCTCTATTTTTATGGCGAAATACTTTCCTTTTCTTCTGAAATATAAAACAATATTAATTCATTTCTTAGAGTAGTAAGACCTGTCAATAATATCAATGTTCTATTCTTAATTTTTCATATCTTCTGTTTAAAGGTAAGAGAAAAGGTGCACATAAAGAGCTATTTTATTTCAGAATGAACCTGTTGATGTAAATAATTTGAATAAACATTCTGTATCAGCACTGACTTTTGGAGATCACGTTTCTTGAAAGTTCGTTGTGCAGGACAGCCTGGGCTATAAAGAGAAACTCTGTCTCGGGAAAAAAAAAAAAAAAGAAAGCTCTTTGTGCCTGTGTCTTTTGGGATGTTGCCTGCTTCTGGGATGGCGTCAGAGGCACTCGCATCACCTGCTACTTGTTTCCATATACTCACTGCAAGAGCTGCGGTTGCTCTAAAGCTGGACTCTGCTCTGTCCTGTTGCTGTACTGCTTCCTTAGGTGTGATGTTTACCTGTCTGTTTCAAAGACTTCTGAAAGCAGAAGTAACCTGATTCTCAATCCTAATGCATACAGTGAAGTAGAGGTGCCCGGGTAGGCAGTCTCATCAGTAAAGTGCTTGCTGCCCAAACATGGCTGCATTCAGATCTCCAACACCACACAAATAGACAGCCTGCACCATAGTCTCACTGCTGAGGAGGCAGAGATGGGAGGAACCCTGGGGCTCATTGGCCAGGTAGTGTAGCTAATATGTCAGCTCCAAGTTTAATGAGACAACTTATCTTAAAAAATTAAGTGGGGGAATGATTGAAGAAGACACCCAGTGTTGACTTCTTCCCTCTGTCCATGTGCATACATATACACACTCATACACTAAAGTAAAAGTAATAACTGAAAAAGGGGAAAATGAGAGAGTTGAGATTGTTACCCAGATTCCATAAGCAAGAATAACAAACTATTCAGAAAACTGACAAAATTGTGTTAGAGGAGTCTGCAGACTGACTAGCCAGTCCTGAGTCCTAGAGTCTGACACTAGGCAGTTTAGTTTAGGCATAGTAAAGCACGGCACAATTTGGAATATTATTAATACTGGTAATAATTAATTCAATCCTGTGTGTACAATAAAGCTTAAGGTATAGCTACATCAAAGCTCCTTGTAAAGTACATGTGACCTCTTCCATAAAGACAGGTTCTATAAATTGACTACATGTGACACCTTACAGCTCTGGAAGAGGGTCTGCTGTGGTCTTGGTAGTACAAAGGTCACGAGGCTATAAAACACCTTTGCTCCTGTTTGTAAGAGTCCGGAGCAGCCAGGTGTGGCCTAGCAATACAGATGACACAGAAGTCACCGTGCTATTAACCATATCCATTCCCAGCTCTCTGGGCTTATCACAGCTTATACATTTCTGCCTTTGAAGAGAGACATTACTGGATGTTTAACATTGCTAATTTCCTTAGCACTTATCTGTGATCACAAGCACCTCATGTCCTCTACAGTAAAAGAAGCAGAATTAGGCTTCTATTTAAAACCACAGAAATTTGAAGATTTGAAAAATAATGATACTGTTTATAGCACTAGCTAACAGCTATTTAGATATATAATAGGCAAAGTTCTAGGTAGTTAGTTTTGATACTTAGTTTATATAGCACTCTACACAGTAAGGTACTTTTCTTATTTTCCAAATACAAAAAAAAAAAAAATGAGCTGTTAATCTATCTAAGAAATGATGCCAGCAGTCTCTTTTCTACCATGTACAGTTAGCAGTTAGTGCAGGAACTTCACAGGTGATCATGTCTGTTTTCATACATAAACGGATTAGAACCAATAGAGTGACCAGTCTACTATAATAACATTGAGCCAGAAGCCTGATTCAAACCAGAGTCTGTGAGGATTGCTTCAGTGCTCCTTACAGCCCCACAGGTTTCCTCTCTTTCTGTAGTGCCTCAGATCAATGTCTTTGTGTTATAGAGATCATGTAAAACTGTATTATTAAATACATTTTGACATAATTGTGAATTGCTAGTAACAAAGAATATGGTTTTTCCTGTGGGAAAAAAATGGTGCAATCATAAAATATAGAGTAATTTAAATGTTGTTGAAACTGCTTTGTTTATGTGTAAGATATGCTTAGTAGAGAGTAATATGTAGGTATTTGATTCCTGATTTATTTCTGTATAGCTTCAGGAGATATTCAGAAAAAAAAATGAAAAGAGAGAAACAAAAGGAGATGAAGAAAAACGTGCAATGCTGGTAAGAAATACTTTATAGTGGTTTCAGGTGGGTTTTTCCAAGTGAGAATTATTTTTTACTTGTTGAAATAGTGTAACACTTAGAATTTGAATCGTTTCCTTTACTGAAAACATTCTGAAGATTTAATGTAGAAAAATTATATAAGTATCTTATGCATCAATATCAATATTTATGCTAAATATTGATATTAAATATCTGTACCAGTCATATTCATTAAATCATTTTCATCCATACTGTCGTTATCTGTGAGATATGAAGGGTATATATCATATAGTAGATTAATAAGATCATTATGCATGTAAAAATTTAAAGGTGAATATGCAAAGATTTAATTCTGTAAGTGAATTTAATGATAGTGTAATAAAATGAGTGGTAAATGTAAGGAAATAATGTAGGCTTTCTGCATCTCACAGAAGTAGTATAGACTCTTCTTCTGGGTTACATGTTAGTGCCTCATTCTGAAGTTAGAATTAACAGTATTTCATCTTTTTAGTCTTCACTTTATTTGTCCCAAATATTTCAGTCTTGACAACAGCCCAGTTCACATTAAAAAAATAATAGATTGGTCCTGAGCCCTTACTCTCAGCCACAAGGCTAGGAGCTTTTCATGCATTTTGCCATTTAATCTATCCACCAACCCTCCTGTTGTCCACAGTTAAACAAGAAAACTGACCATTATAAGGTTTAAATATCTTATGAAAAATTATAACCCTGTTAAAAGTCACAGTTTCAACCTTTGGTGGCCTGCTCTGAATTCTCTACTTTTATCCATCTGCTTTTATTCATTTGCTACTTAAATACCAAAAGTATGGTATATCTTATTGTCGTGTAACAAATACTTAATTAAAAGTATGATTTTAGTCACTAGCCTTTACTAAAATACATAGATGAGATAACATAGTGGGGAAAGCTACAGTATTAACACAAAAGCCAAGGTAAAGGAATTGAAAGATACATTGTACAAATAAATGTACAAACTGTATAACGTAATGTACAGAGAAATGTATAATACATTGAAAGAAAGCATTTTATAATGGTGATGTAATTCACATTAACTTGTATTAATTAGGCAAGTCTAGGTTAGTTATGAAATCTATATTATATCACCTTATCCTAGGTGATATGTCTTATATTCATATGTTAGTGATGCACTCCCTAGCAAATATAATGGGAAAGAAACTTAGTTTTAGAGAACAAGTGAAAACAACATATAAATTGTATGGAACTTAATATATGTAAATGACCTCATTACAGTAATTGATCTACAGGTCCCCAGAGGTGTTGATCTGAATCTAAATAGCCCTGCTCAAAGCTCATTTCCTCATTTCATAATGTAGTTATCAGGTGTTCCTGTCAGTGACCGCTCCCTGACAGCACCATTCAGCGCCACGGCGCTCTACAACTCCCCATTACCGTATTTGATAGGGCAGTCCTTAGTTTCAGTGTATTAGTCATGTTTTAAATCATACAGATCTGAATTGACTTTTGACTATTCTATCTAGAGATGATCAAGTAAAATGCAAATGGTTTTGGCAGGTTGATAGAAATGATTGTATACATGTACACATATTCTAAACACTAGGTTGAACTTGAAACAGAGTTCATCTCACAGTAAAAAATGAGATGAAGCCTAAGAAGCAAGTAAAGCAGGCCCATGAGCTAGGTCCAGAGGGTGGGACTATTTCCTCTGTGACCTTCAGTAAGATTCTTAATCTCTCTGTCCCAGTCTGTTTACTTTTACAATTAAAATAATATAATAATGTTGTCACCACCTGTAATTTTATGAAGATTAAATGAGTTAAAATGCTACTTAGCCAGTATAATATATAATTATAAAAATATAATAAACATCAAAAAAATGTTAGCTAATAGACTTGATAACAACCTCCTGGTTTCTTTAACTGAAAATTAGCATATCCAAATCAAAGCTCTATAATACATCTATGTCATTAAAACTCTGACATGAACACTGTGTTCTAAGGTCTGTGCTAAGACCATAATGAGTGATTCTCTCTGTATCCTCATCTCAGTCCTGACAGGTAAGTGTTACTGCTGTTCCACAGGTGAGCAGAGTCTATGACCATAGCCAATAGGGTTCCAGCGCAGGGCCTCATCCCATTGTCCACATCCATCCTGCTGCTGAGCCCAGCATCCCCACCTCTGCTCAGGAGGAACTGTTGGCTCACAGCAGTAGTCCTTTCATGTACAATGGAAATGGCTGAGATGAACACAGGCTCAGTTAACATTTATTTATATTGAGTTTAGAAACTTTGCTACTCATCTTTAACATTTATCTCACTCGTGTGTGTGCTTTATAGAGAATATAGCATAATGATTTGCCCTTCCTAATTGATTATTTTGTCGTCTTTTTCTTTTTTCTTTTGCTATACTTGGGTTCATTCTGAAATGTGACACTTCATTTGGCCCTTTGTGCTGTATGTCAGCGTCTTCAACTTTATGGATACCATTCTCCTACTAATAGTGTATGTACAATACTTTAAATGTTTTTTATGTATATATCCCTTATCTGTTATATTGGATAATATTATTTCCTTATATAAAGCTATATATGCTATGTAAAGTGTATTGCAGTTTGTTAAATACAGTAAGATACAATCAAGCCAAAATTTTTAGATAAGTGAAACAAAATGTAGAAAGCAATTGTATATCTTTATTAGTTTTATATTTGTAAATTAAAATAAATGTGATTAAACAATCACCACCAGACATTCTGGTAGAGTAATAAAAATTTTATATTTTTCAGCAATATATGAAGCATTATACAAAAATAATAGAACAGATAGGCTCTGTTCCTGAAGAACACAGGTATTTTAAGAATTAACTCTAGACATTGGTCATTGCCAATAAAATCATGTTAATGAATAGACTTTTTCATTTTCAGTGTTCATTTTTTTTCTGAAACTCTATTGCCTGCTTACTTTCTCTGCTCTATTAAAAATTCTCTATAAGCTTGTATTTGTTACATACTACACAGACATGACTGTGAGTTTCATTCTTTAGTCTTGAAAATTTCTGTAAGTGCTCTTCCCAGTCGTGACATTTCTGTTCTCTTGAGAACAAGCTCATTGGTTAGCCCAGCACATACGGACCTCCTCAGAATAACCTGATCCTGTCCCATAAACATGCAGTTCATTAAATGTCTTAGGTATCCTTCAGTCTTGTTAAGGATTCCTCAAACTATGCAAATCCTACCTGAGAAGTTCCTTGAATTTGGGGGACAGTGTTTAATTAGCTACTATAACCTGTAGAGCTTATTTTAGATTTAAGCACATCCTGGAGATGGTGTCAACATCAGATAAGCACAGAGTATCCTGCCTCTCACAAGGAATGACACAGTATAATTGGAGAGCAAGTCACATCTATGGGGCCCACACAGACTTTAAATTTGTCTAAGATTTGGAAACATTTTCTATAAAATCTACTGCTACTTCCCAATACGATTATTTTTAAAAATATTTTTCTGATAATCATTTAAATATTTGTAAGAGCTTATAAAATGAAAATCTCACATTAGAATATCATACATACATTTAAACATAGTTAATAGTATTTATGACTTTATGGCATAATGTTTACTGTCACAGTGGGAACTACTTTTTAATTGTGGCAGTTTCCTTGTTTCCTTTCATTTTTAAGTAGTTACCATAGAGTTTAAACTGCATAGACTTTACAGTCACAGTCAGTAAGGTATTTTCATAGCCAGATTTAAGCTGTACATTTTATTCATATTACCCTTGATAAGGAAAACATATTTGTTATTTTTATTTTATTGGTTCACAAATTTTTCATTTCATCTTACTGAGGACAGCTTCTGTCCTTATGTAAAACAAATGTTAATGTGCTATAACTTCATGTTCTTTTAATCGTCACTCAAATAGATTATATAGTTTAACTGGTAAAATTTGATTTTTTTCTATAATAGAAACATTCTTATGAGGAATGACTTCCCTGAAGTGCCTTTGGCAAACAGGATGGGGTCTGGACATGAAGACAGACCCTCTCAGCTCTCAAATTGTCTGTTCCAAGATAGCACCTGCTACAGCCACTTCTGCCTGTTTTCATTCTTCCTGCTATAGTAAAAGATTAAGGCTGACTAGCCTTAATCTTGTGTCCATGAATATAATAGTTACTCTCAGCAGCTTTCCACTCCAGATAACCCAGATAGTTTTATATTTCTAATGTAATCAAGTTTCAAATTATTTTTCCACAGTGATGGAAACAATACAAAAAGAGTTCAAAAGAATAAGCAATTCAACTAGCTCAAAGATCAAGGTGTTTGACTTCAGCATCCCTGATATGATTTTTATGATATCAATTTTAACTATCCTAATGCTATTACTACCAGAAAATGTGTCAATTTTTAATAGCACTTCAGTGGTATTTCATCATATGTTGAAATGTGGTTTGGTACTAAATTTAATATTCATAAATAATCTTTTTTTAAAAATGTGTCCTCCAGTTTTTGATGCAGAATTGTAATATATATTGTACATATATTTACACATATATATTACCATGGATGTTAATTATGTGTTTTCAGTCTTGTCTGTCATTACTGACAGTTGTGTCTGCTTGATTGTCAATAGGTATTTTAAAATTAAACTAAATGTATGGATTTATTGTTTACTCACAATGTTCTTCACTTTTTGTTACCTATTTTAAAACATTATTACATCTGTATGAATATAAATTAATTATGCTTTAGCCAAATTTCTGGTAGCTACTTACTAGATTTCTGGGTATATTTTACCTTATAAAACCTTTAGTTGTCAGTATAGACTACCTTTTAAATTAATATTTTAATTCTTCTTATTGTTCCCTGTAAAGATATGAAGCTTTTCCTTATTTTAAAAATGTACTTTAGCTCAGAAAGTTAATGCAAATAAAATGAATAATTACAAAATAGCTCAAGAAATAGAATTTGCTATTTCCCATAATCCCCTTTATACTGTCTCCAGGCATAGTTCTTCTCCCAAAAGTCATTCTCCCAAATGATTGCTGCAGCTGTGGTTTATAGCTAGTTCTTCGCTTTGCTGCCTATGCGTTCTGAGAACTTTGCTTTAGTTCTGCTCACCGAGTCCTTGTAGGCAGGCCCAGCTGGAGCTCCTGTATTGCTTTAAACAATGTCTTTATCAGTTGTTCTAGCAAGTGAAAATGGTTGTTTGTGAAGAAAGTAGCTCTTCAACTTGTAATACAGACTGTCACACAGATGTCTTCTTGCTGGGCAGTTCTAGCTCCTGAGTATACAGCAGAAGCACTTCCTGTGTAATTCCTGTTGCCACTCCCAGATACTGAAAATCTGTACGTGGAAGTCTCAGCACATGTGAGGGCACTGTCTAATTTGTGTGAAGTTACCAGGACTTGTCATTTTTACTATCAGTACAGTACAAATAGCAATGCAGAGCCAAAGGCAATAGCATTTAAAGTGTCTTTAAGATGTACGTATTAGCTTTGGGCTGGCCATTTCATTCTCATCTAGCAAGCTAGTGCTAGTTCCTGGCTTCTCATCAGCATAGCCTGCTGCGCCTTTTTCAGCTTTGCTTTTCTCATTAACTGGGAAAATTTTGATGGTATATTTTGTGAAATGTACTGGTCTCTTTTCTCCTGGCTGATTGATAATCTGTGCCTCTTAATTAGAAAATTCCATTAATTTACATTAGTATGATTACTTTGTGATGTAGAATTTAGGTGTTTTTCTCTGTAACCCATTCTTTTCTTCCTTGATTTACCTTGCCTTCTGTAGGAATTTATTTTTTCTTTAAATTTAGAACGTACTTAGTATATTTCTATGTTTATCTTCCAAGTCTTTGATGAATATACCTAAACTAAGAACATCTTTATGCTCTTCCACATAGGATGCTTAACTATCTTTGATGTCTCTCTCAGCATAGATACTTGGAATTCTTGTATAATGGCTGCATCATTCTTTTTTCTAATATCTCTAATTAGATATTCTAAATGTATATATATCATTGATATTTGCTTTGGTCATTTTACTGTGTAGCTTGGGCTTTGACCTCTTGAGTCTGCAGCCTCTGCCTCTGAAGTGCTGGGATTCCAGGCTTTTGCCACCCTTCCTTGCTATCAGTGTCTATGTAGAATTACCCTCTGTGAACAGACACCATGAACAAGACAACTCTTATAAGGATGACATTTAATTGGGCTGGCTTACAGGTTCCAAGGTTCATGCCATTATCATCAAGGTGGGAACATGGCAGTATACAGGAATTCATGGTACAGGAGGAGCTGAGAATTCTACATGTTTATCTGAAGGCTCCTAGGAGAAAACTTTCATCCAAAGGCAGCTAGGAGGAAGCTCTCAAAGCCCACTCCCACAATGACTCACTTCCTCTGACAAGGCCACACCTACTCCAACAAGGCCACACCTCCTAATAGTGCCACTCCCTGGACCAAGCATACTCAAGCCACCACATATTTACCATTCCTAACTCAATTTCTGTTTTGAAGCTAAGGAGATGGCTCAGTTTATAAAGTATCTGCTGAAATGAGTTCTGATTCCTAGAGTCCACATACTGCCCAAGTAGGTGGGACATGTATGTAACCCCAGCAGTGGGGAATGTGAGACAAGAACAGATAGCCCCTAGAGCTCATGGGCCAGCCAATCTAGCAGAATTGATGAACTCCAAGTACAGTATCTTGTCATAAAAAATAAGATGGAGAGTAAAACAGGAAGATAAATAGTATTGACTTTTGGCCTATGAATGCATACAATTCACTCATGTATATTTATATGTATTTACCAGTGCTCATAATTAATTTAATCTCACCCCTTTCTAAACCTTATGATCTAATACTCATAAAATACTCAAGATAGAGTCCCTTTGTGATTGGAAAATGATGGTTTAGCAGTATAGCAGGTCACGGTAGAGTTACTGTAGAGCTTTATTGTGTCTAAGACCCTGGGTTCAATTCCCATTAAAACCAAAAAGAAAAACAAACAAACAAAACTTCTCTTTGAAAATGTCTTTATTATAAGTTAACAGATGCTTCTCAGCAAGTGATGATAAAATTTATACACTGTTTTTGAGCTTCTATAATTGAAATTAAGGTGTCAGCTCTGAATGTAATTAGCTTTTTTCTGTAGGTTATCAGGGTCTCCTCCCAGCCCAATTTCTCTCTTCCCCATTAAAAACAGATCTTTTTTCCTCACTTAGTATATCTTGATTGTGGTTTTCTCTTCCTCTACTCATTCCAGTTCCTCTCCACAGTCAACTGCCTTTTTCTCTCTCACATTAGAAAGCATACAGGGGGAACTGGAGAGATGGCTCAGTGGTTAAGAGCACTGACTGCTCTTCCAAAGGTCCTGAGTTCAATTCCCAGCAACTACATGGTGGCTCACAACCATCTGTAATGGGATCTGATGCCCTCTTCTGGTGTGTCTGAAGACAGCTAGTGTACTCATATACATAAAATAAATCTTTTTTTTAAAAAAAAAAAAAAGAGCGTTCGGGGATCTAAAGGATAATACTAAAATAGTCACATAAAACAGAAGCTAACACATTGGAGTTGGAGAAGACAAACAAACAGAAGGATAGTTACTTTTGTCAAAGACATCTGCCTTTTGTTTCTGCAGGGTGTTCCAAGGTAACTCACTCATTGCAAGCCTGGCTGTGGGTCTCTGTATTAGTTCCCACCTGCTGTAGGAGGAAGCTTTTCTCATGATGGCTGAGCAAGGCACTGATCTATGAGTATAGCAGAGTGTCACTTCTAAAATAATTTATTTTATGTGCATTGGTGTTTTGTCTACATGTATGTCTTTATGGGGGTGTTGTTATGCCTAGATAGTGAGGTCCCCACAGACCACCAGAGACGACCAGGAGTGCAACTCATATGCAAAAGCAAAAGTCTTCATTCAAGCTTGAGCTCCAGCCCTCCAACCTCTCCAGTACAGTGGAAGGTGCTGAGCTGGTACAACCCTTGCCTGTTTATCATGGTTGCTGTAGCAGAGTGAGAGACTTTCCCACTTGGCAGTTACATTATTGGTTGACATTTGCTTGGCACACTTTTGTCGGCTAGTAATGATTTCTGCTTGGTATGAACAATTGCTAATTTAATCAATCTACTTTAAGACATTAGGTATTTTCTTTCCCCTTAAGAACTGATTGGTTGTTGCTAGGAGTGGAGTGGCTGTTTGCTCAGGGGAATTGTGACAGTTGGCAGGGTGACAGGGTTCTTAGAACAAGTTGAGGTTTTTCCAGTAGCTGAGTATTTATTCAGAGGGCGAGTTAATTATAAAATGGAGTCTGAAAGCAAAATGGAGTTTGTAATGTTAAGGTTGGCCCTTCAGTGTCAAATCTTGAAGTTAGAGATAGTTGTAAGATACCATGTGGTTGCAGGGAATTGACTCAGGGTCCTCTGAAGTAGTAGTTAGTGTCCACATCTGCTGAGCCATCTATGTCTCCAGCACCACAGAATGTCATTTTAAGTCTTCTTTGCCTTTGTTTTTCTATAGTCTTGGTGCAGTGTGCCTCTCTGCCCTGCTTTTATCTGGGGTGAGATTTGTTGAGCTTCCAAAACAGGAAATTGTTTTCTCCCCATTATTATTGGAATCTACTGTCTTTATCTCTTTACCTGAATGTTATTTCCCATCATTCTCTGTTAAGACTTTCTGGTGCTTTCATGGACACTTATTTGATCTACTATGTCTGTTAGCTTCTTTCTGAGCGTTGGTCAGACCTGGAGAAAATTAGTCCAATACAACATTAAATTACAGTTCCAAGATTACTTACTGGTTTTGGTTTTGGTTTGTTTTATTGCTGTTGTTTTGATACAATTGTCAATTGTTACAATAGAACATAATAGATAGTTTTATTTTGCTTGTTTTTTTTTTTGTTTAAGTATGTAAAGTACTGGCCTGTTGAGTCATAGATAACGGGGTCATCATCATTCTGTTTACCTCAGTGATAGATCAGTATCTCTAAGTTAGACTTTCTTGAGAACTTCCTTTGACCTTTTGTTCCTCCCTCGACAATAGCGTGTCTGCCTTCTCTGCACTCCTGTCTTTCTATCACAAATATCAGTGTCAGGATATTAGAGAATTATGGGAATAGGACCTTGCTTAAACGGTTAAAAAAGAGATGTAGAAACTCTCAAATCTGCCAAGTTTAAGGACTTCCATTAATAAATAGCCTCTTTAACATAGATAGGTAGGTTGGTAGGATAAGCATGGAAGGTTGATGATAGATAGATAGATAGATAGATAGATAGATAGATAGATAGATAGATAGATCAGACTTAGAAGGTACAGGACATCAGTTTGCCTGGTCCAATCCTTTTGCAAGTTCTTTTGAGTGGGTGGGTGGGGGAGCACCCTCATAGAAGCAGGGGAGGGGGGATAGAATAGGGAGTTTTTGGAGGTAAAACTGGAAAAGGGGATCATATTTGAAATATAAATAAATAAAATATCCAATTTTTAAAAAGGAGAGAAGAAAAATAACAGAAAGAAAGGGAAGGAAGGAAGGAAGGAAGGAAGGAAGGAAGGAAGGAAGGAAGGAAGGAAGGAAGCTCACACTTAGATTGTTCTACTGGCAAAAGCCTGAAAGCTGAGCTCACACAGCAAGATGTTTTCAGGAAGTCTTTACGTGCAGCCTTCCATGTATACACTGAAGCATCATAGCTGTCTGTTTCATTACTGTCTTAGAGCCCAGTCATAGGTGTACATCTCACGTCCTTCTTTAAGTTTTACATATGTTCTGATATTAAATTTACTCTATATTTCTTCAATATCAATTCTAGTTTGAACTGCTTATCTATTTGAAGCTTATTGTAGTGCCCTATTTATTTTTTATGCTATTAAACTTTTTGTTATTTTTATATTAAAAGTTTATTCTTAATTACATCATTAAAGTTATTGATTAAAAGTGAAATACTAGCTTGAGACCAGACAAATATAGGCATCATTGAGTATGCCTAGAAGGTCATCTATCTATATATATATATATCTATCTGTCTATCTGTCTGTCTGTCTCACAGCTAGCTTTTACTTTCAATAATACTTGCTGTGAGAATATTGGGCCTTTTCTCTGAAGCCTTATATTTTAAAAGATGGTATAAGATAAAACAAAAAATGCAGTTACAGTATCTCAGTCTTATTAGCTAATGTCATGTATTTGCTTCTCTTCTATACATGTAGAACCAATTAGCATGGATTTACTAAGTTGTTTCTGTACCTTTTGTGATAGTGACCAATTAGCAATATTTTCTAGTATAGTAGGTTTAATAAACCTTTTTTAAAATCATGTGTTAATCTTCTAAGTTACAGGTAAAATAGAAAGAATATTCAGAATATATCAATTAAAATGAGAGTGCAATGTTAATCTAGAATCTATTGAGGTTATTTCTAGTTTGTATGAAAGAAAATAGAGTGTGCTAATTCTGTATTTAGCCGATTTTCTCTATGTAATTCACTACTGCTTGTTTTCAATTCAGTTATTTAGGAAAAGAGATAATTATAGATCCATGTGGTATGGCCACATTGCTACAAGTATTTATGTCCGTTACCCATTTACAGCTAAATAATACTTTATGATCAGCAAATGACTAGCAGTGGATAGTGTTTTGTAGTTAATTATAATGTTAGGTGAAATTAGAAAAATGTCTTTTGAAATATTCTTAGCATGTAGCATAATTTTAATATTCCCTCCAGATTGTTGTCTATTTGCCTGAAACAGAGGTTCACTGAGTTGCCAATCAGGCCTTGAACATCTAGAATCAAATAGTCCCCTGCTCTGAGCTCTAAAGTAGCTGGGAGAGTAGCCACATGCAGCACACCTCACGGATACCTGCCTTTTAAGAACTAAAACAAAAGAAAAGTAGAAAAGTTTGATTCTCCTGCCATGGTGCATTTTTTTTCTTTCAGTAACCAAAAGATCCATAGGCCTGATAACTTCAGTACCCACTGTGTGTCCCAACAGAAGCCGACTATAATTATTTCTGTGTAGAGTCTCAAGTTAGGATTGTAGTTTTTAACCTTAAAAACTCCCACACAGTAGCCAATACTGAGAGGAAAGTAAGTGCCCTGTCCTTATAAGCGTTAGATGCACCTTATCTTTCATAGTAGACACACCTGTCAAATCCTAAAATAGGTTTACATCATTTGACTTGAACAGCTATATTTTATTTTTACAAGCTTTATATTAAAATTTTTATCTACAAGGTATGGATGAATATATTTTGATTATGTTAGTCTAACAAAATGGGTGATAAAACAACTAATTTTGAAATTATATATGCATTTAACAGGTTACCACAAATTTACAAAAATTTTCTACATATGACCATTTCACACAAAGTATAAATAAATGTTTACGTCATACTTTCATCGAAGTTTACTTTATGTCTCAACAAAGGCAGGCAAGATTGCAGAGTTTTGAGTCTTTTTGCCATAGCCCCATTGTGCTTAGAAACAGGTTATATACCATTTCATCCCTGAAAGCACCATGGGGCTGCTGCTGTGTAATGTAATACTGTTGTGTGCAACAGAAAACAATGAAGGTAAGCCAGTGAGCTCTTTTCCCTTCTGTGGTTGGGAAAAGGAGATGTAAAGTACATAAGTTGTCCTTCTTTGTGACTGTTGTTTACATTTGTGTTGTTCTTAAAACTTCTACAGGTACTTAAAACAGATGCTGAGGAACTTGTCTCTAGAAGCTACTGGGATACCCTGAGACGTAGCACAAGCCAGGCGCTCTTCTCAGACCTTGCAGAGGTATAATGAACCATCTGTGCGGTCCTCACACTCCTGTGCTAGATGCCGTTTTGTTAATCTGGTCTTCATTTGGTTTTAGATTCACAAGAGGAAGCCCAAATGTACTATTTTTCTATTTCTTTTAACTTTTTAAGTAAATTAATAAGTACTATTTATCATATACATATAATCATTGTATAGAACATTTTTAGTAAATTAATAAGTACTATATATCATATATATAACACTGTACAGAAAGAATATTTTAATATGTCCATTGTACTGACAGGGGATATCAGTTATTATTATCTGTGTTGATTGAACTTGTTTATTTTATAAAGCATAACTTCACTACATATTTAAGAGAAAATAATAGTAATACAGATTTGTAAATTTACTGACACTATCCTACAACCTAAAACTTATATAGAAATACTAAAATTCTTCACATTGTAAATCATGGCTGTTCTTATGTTAGATTTAAACAATTAACTTCCTCAGCTAATAGTGAGTACCTTAAGGGAAGGGGTACAGAAATATGAGATTCAGTCAAAGAATTAGAAATTTATCTTTGTATTAACTTAAGACTGCCAGTTCATGTTTAAATAAAAAATAGACCAACTCAGATTTTGTTATAATATGGCTTAAATTTTACTAGTAGACACTTTTGTACTGCCCTTGGGATAGACTGCCTCTATTCCCCTATTAATTTAGTGCCGTCATCAACAGGAATTTAAATATATAATATTAAACTTGATATCTAATATCGTTTTTAAACATTAACTTCAAAAAGTAAGGCACTATGATACAGTGTTGTTGGAGTGCTTGACACACAAGCATGGGGACCAGAGTTCAGTGTCCAGCATCCATGGAAAGAACTAACACAAGGCACATTATGTGTTCTTTAAAGCCAGCGGTGATGAGGAAGAGACAGGAGTGCAGATCCATGGTGCTTGCTGGGCAGGCAGTCTAGTTTCATTGTCAAAGCCCAGGTTCATTGGAGACCCAGTCTTAAAGGACTAGGTAGATGGTGTTTAAGAAATACATCTAGGATTGATGTCTTATGCATGTACGATGGCATGTGTACACACACACATCAATATCTAAAATAAATACCAATTATTTGTGATTTCTTTTGTTTTTCTGTGTTTTAAATAAAGTTTTGGGTGATGTCTTACTTGGAGAGTCTCTGTTACTGCACTCCTACATTATAGAAAATGAGAATCCACTGTAAGTCACAACTTGTATAAAAGAATTACTTATAGCATTTGTATTTCAAGACACAAACTAGTTCAGAAGGAAAGCTTGGAAATTTACTTATGTATTTCTTCATTGCATATAATATACAACTCTTAAAATATTATAGGTAAATAAGAGCTTAGCCTTACACTTTCTCATCCCACAACTGCTTTAAACTGTTGGCATGTTAAATTATAAAGAAGAAACCATGTTTTAAAAATCACTTTAATATTATATAAAGAAGATTTGCATATGTGAACAGCTGGGACTAATTTCTGCTCAAAATAATTCAGAGTGCAATATGACAAGTATATCAAACAGCATTGAAAACAGTGGTTTAGTACAAGGATTACTTTGACTTTTACAAATGAAATTTAATGTCTTTGTGCTATAAGTAATACTTATCCATTGCTTTATTTCAGAAATTTTATTATATCAAATTTGAAAGTTTTTCTTTGCTGATGATTAAGGTTTTTTTACATTGTAATCAATAGAAATTTGTTTAAAAGGCTATCTTAAAACTTTATTTTAATAGTTTGATAAATTTGTATTTTATACAAATTTTGAAATTTAAATTAAGTTTGGTCATGTGGTTATTATTGGTGCTGAGGACTGAAGCATATTAAATACACACTACTACTTACCTATACCCCTATACCGCACTCTGTCTACCAAGCTCCTTCCCAGCTAATATCATTTTTAGCTTTAAAAAACAAAAAAATTAGTGAGCTTATGTCTAAATGGCCACAAGGGTCTCTTTTCACTTGGAGGTTTTTTTGCACTGTTTTTTGCAAACCACTCGAATTCATTTTTTTAACAATAAGCACAAGAATCAAAGAAATAAAGTCTTTTCTTTTTCTTTCCACCTTCTTGTAATTTGTTGTGTAAACTGTATGATGCCAAGGACACTGGTGTAGCTCTCCCAGTGGCTCCAGTGCTCGGTTTCAGACGGGCGTGGGGTCCCCATTTGCATTTTCTGGTTTCCCCACCTCTGCTGTCAAGCTGTTCCTTATTCCTCTGAGGATCTGGATTACTTGAATAAACACAACCTGAAGCTACTAAGATTGGACACTGAAAACCGTAAGTGAAGGTCCGATCTGCTCAGTGAACAGAAGAGCCTCAGTCATTGTAGAAGCCCGTGTAAACATCTTAAGTCCCCTCACTATGAATGTGGAGGCAGCACAGCATAAGGCAGTATCCACATCCACGTGCCCCTGCATCCTCTCATTTTGAAGGTCTTTGTTTTCAGATGTATATAGATTTAATTTCAATAACAAATAAGTAAGCAGACTCTGTAGTGATCCTTTTTTCTATGATCCTTGAAAAGTTTTGTCATCTAAGTCATATTTCATCTTTTTAAACTTGACAAAAAGTAAAGCATGGTTAGCATATATGAATGAATATATGTATGAAAATGTTTTCAATTAATAAAGGAAAGAAATCTACCACCTGCTCCATCTGTGTAGCTTGCACACAGGTACATTATTTTTTCATACTAATAGACTAGTACCCATCCTTAAACTCAGCTCGAGCCTGCCTCCAAGATATCCACCACACCCCATTTACAATTAAGCTCTTTGAGGCAAAAATCAATAGATCTTTGCACCTGTGACTACCAACAGGGGCATGCGTACACTTTATCTTCATGTTGTAGCATTCTCCTACAAGTTAGTATAGACAGGGTTACTTCTCTCTTCAGATAAGGAAGTCAAAGGTCCGGAAGGACATTGAAGTGAAGACCTCTGATTTTAAATCCTGTCCTTTTCCCATTAGAACAGTACCTCCTCCACCAAGTTAGGAGTGATGTAGTGTCTTCCAGGGTTACTCTCTTGTCACGTGGGACACTGCAAGGACGGGTACCTCTCATCCTTCAACATTCATAATATGCTTGGCAAGTAGATATTTTTAGAGATAGTATGTGATATTTGGCTACCTGTATTGTTTTCTCCTCTAGCCACCAGGTGGGTCTGCTGTCTGATCTTTGGACAGGTTGTGGTGTGGGAGTGTGGGAGAGTGGCTTTCCTCGGGGACTGACCACTGAGGATGCTGTGGCTTGTCAGGAAATTTAAATGAGATGAGTACTAGAGCTCTCCCAGACTGTACAGGAACTGTGTACTGGGGACCAGTAAGAAATCCATCCATCCTCAATTACTTAATTATACACAGAACACTTGCTAAAGAATTTCAATAACTTTAACTTATTCTCTACAAGAGAGGAGTTTTGGACAGTTGTGTTTGGCTACACTTGGGTGTGGGTTTGTTTGTTTGTTTGTTTTTGAGATAGGGATTCATATAACACCACCTACCCTGAAACTTAAACTCTTGACTCTCCCATCTCAGTCTCCCAAGTGCTGGGATTAAAGCAATGTGAAATCACATCGGGCTCAAAAGGTTGAGTTTTTAAGATAGATATAAATAATCCAAGTAGCATGGATCACTTTTTAAAAAGCAGCTTAATTGAGTGGACATCTAAGGGGAAATAGATAATCCAGTATCTACCGCATTCTAATTCTTATAAGAAAGTATTTGACCCACGGAGAAAGGAAAGAAAGACCCTACTAATGTTGCTAAAACAACTTCCCTGTGAGAGACGGGGAGGAGAGCTTGGAGGAGTCAGAGTAAGATCAGCACGTGTCTTGTAGCTGATACACGAAATGCAGCTACTACTAGACCCATCTTTTCTAGAAGAACATCCTGTGTTGTGACTTGTGATAAGTACTATCTCAGCTACCACCACAGAGGACATACACAACCATTTATATTAGTGTTGAAAATGGTGGGCCTGCATTTTCTTCTTACATTTCCTATGAGTTGTAATTATTTGAATTTCCTGAATTGTGTACCTGAATTTATGAAGTAATTATGAGGTGATGACAAAGAAAAGAAGAGAGGAAGACTAATGAAGCAATAAAGTTGGAAGTTGCATAGAGCAATTGCATCTTGTGAGGACTATAATCAAACATGTTAGGAAAATGTTTGTGGAAATAGAGTTTAAGTTGAGTAAAGAAGGAAAAATCCTGTGGAATTCTTGACCATTCAAAAATTATATGATGCTTATCTTTGAAAACAGTACCAGTGATAAGTTACTACTGTAGTTCCTCTTTCTAAACACATTATCACATACTTCAAAACTGGTTGTGATATAATACATGTGGTTAGAGAACAGCATTCCTATTGATAGTCAACAGGATAGGTACCCTATATGTATTATAATTTTAAGTAGAATACTTTTAAAATATAACTGATGAACATTTTCGACAATAAAGATCAGTATTGCTCAAGTTCCTATTTTTAAAATTTGAATATTTTAGTTATGGTTACATCCATGAGTATAGTCTTTGTTCTCCATTCTAATGCTTGTACCTTTTCATTCTTGGGTTTATTTTACATATAAAAGTGTTTTGCCTGTGTGTGTGTATGTATGTATACCATGTATGTGCCTGTGTATGTGGAGACGAGAAGGGATATGAGATGGCCTGGACCTGGAGTTGTGGGTGGTTAGGAGTCATCATGTGGATGCTGGAAACCAAATCTGTGTCCTTGAGAAGAGCAGCAAGTGCTCTTAACCAGTGAACCACCTCTCCAACCTTTCTTGACTTATATTTTGATAAAATTCTTGGAAGAATATGGTTTGTTTGTTTGTTTGTTTGTTTGTTGTTTGTTTGTTTGTTTTCTTGTTACTAATTTTAAATTATGTTTTTAAGCGTGCTGATGACATCACAAGCTTAGTAGCAGATACTACACTTCTGGTACACTTTTTTGGAAAGAAAGGAAAAGCTGAGCTCAACTTTGAAGATTTTTATAGGTGAGCTAAATTTCTGTTTAAAATTATTAGACGCCTAAGGTCGGGTGTTCTTGGGAAACCATCTGATACAGTAAAACTGTGCTGTTCTGGTCTTAATGGAAAATATTCTGTGTAGTATGCATTGCCATTGATGTCTTCAGGTATATTAATAACGATCCACAACATCTAAAAGATAAAAACTGAGTACATGCAGTATTATATCTCCCTCAGTCAGTTCCTCAGTCTCAATAAGCCACAGTAAAAATGGCCATTCTCTTCTCTACCCTACAAGATGCTGTTAACCATTTTCCAGACAGGCAGGCTTAAACTCCAAGAGAGAGGCTACTGGTTCAGGTACCACAATCATTGAGCAGTAATAATTAAATCATTTCCATATAACCTTTCCTAGGATGGTAAATGTCTGATCATTTATTGTGCTTATTTTTTATTATTTTATCACAGATTTATGGATAATCTACAAACAGAAGTTCTAGAAATAGAATTTCTTTCCTACTCTAATGGAATGAATACTATCAGTGAAGAAGATTTTGCCCATATTCTTTTACGATATACTAATGTGGAAAATACATCAGTATTTTTGGAAAATGTGCGCTACAGTATACCTGAAGAAAAGGTGCTTAATCCTTTGTTTATTTTTTCATAGCCATTATCTTGAAGCACACTATTTAGTAAAAGCCATTTTATAATGACTTATTAAATAACTTTATTAATCTAGCTCCTCTGTGAATTAAAACCTATGCTTGGATATATTATATTTGAGTAGAGATCATTATTCTTGGAAACACTTAAAAGTCTTTAAGGCTGTTAGGGTTTTTGTTGTTGTTTGTTTTCTTCAAATTATGACTAGTACTGTTTTTCAAGAGAATTCTGATCAGTTATTCTGGTGTTTTGACTAGTACCAAAACATGTAAGGCAGCTGGTATTGGCATTATTTTTTTCACTCACTGTTCATTTCTATGGCACCTCTAATAAAAGGTCATTTGAAGAGAGCCATTGATGAGTGAGTGATCTTATCTACGTTTGAAGAGGCTTTTCAGCAGCTTTTGGTGGCATGAATGGTTAAGAACCCAAGACAAGTCCTTGTCTATTTGCTTGGTAGCAAATGTGGTGTCAGCCCTTTTGAGCAGTTGCATTATCTAGTGGTATTTGAATGCTTCACTGCAGTCAAATAGAACTACTGCCACAAGTATCCCTTTAAGCCTGGGATCTCTGTCGTCTGTTTGTGTTTATGGAAGGATCAGGTTAAACTGCTGAAGAAAACTTGCAAATAGTTTGAGTTTGTTTAGAGTGGATACACTGTGACAGTGTTAACAATTCTCAGACTCTCCTAAGGATCTGGGGATGGGGAGAGACTTTGATGCATTGGGCTATTAGTTTACACTATCTTTTAATCAAGTCACTTACATCTGTTTTGCCCACTAAGCTGTGTTTTCCTGACCAGTAGATAATTCCCTAGAAATAAAAATCATAATTATGCTACTTAAGCTACTATAGTGTTACATAGGACCTTTAATCTTTTTTCTAAATAGAAACTTGAAAAACAGACTCAGAAGGTCAAATTCCAGGATTACTTTATAGAAAGTTTTCACAGTTTTTTATGATTAATTTTTATATTTAAAATTATTCCAAAATAAAAAAAATCTGAAGTTAAATTCAGCTTTTCTACAAAGTTAATTATAGAAGTATCTCTACAATTATTATCATAGAAAAAAATCACAGCATCATGGATTCAGTGTGGTGATTGCTTGATCTGGATTCCCTCATCAACTCTCACAACAACCTTGCAGGCATTGACATATTTCTTTTGGGAAAGGAGATACTAAGGACCTAAGGCACTTGTCCACTCAAACCCAAGACTCTAGGGCAGTGGCTCTTCTACTGTACTCTACTTAAATCTCTCCCTTCGGTCCACCACTCACCCTTTTCTTCCCAGTAAAAGAAAAGAAAGAAAAGGTGATATTTGAATGGCACTTAACATTTCTAAACTACTTTCATTTCCATTCACAGACACTAAATATCTATAAGCCTTATTATAAGAACAAATGATAAAGCTACAAGATAGCCAAATTCTTTTTCAGTAGGAATATACACTGCTAGAAAGGCAAAATAAGTAAAAAGAAAGATATTTTCAGATAAAGGCAATTACTTTGGGCAGGACAAGGATATGGAGACTGGAAAAGAAGGCCTCTGTATCTGAGAGTTCTTCCAATGTAGCTTTGAGCAGAGCCTGTCTGCAGCAAGCTGTGCCAAGATCTGGATGGCGAGTGTTGTAGACAGGAGAGCAGCACACAGCAAGGGCCTGGGGAGGAGGGACAGGCTTAGGTTATTTGAGAAAATGCTAAAGACCTTTCAAAAACCAGGACAGTAGTAAGTGCTGAGAAGATTATCATCATTGTATGTCGGGTCTGATAGAACTCGGTGGACAGGAAGAGAGGGGACTTAGAGTTCATTCTGATGGAGCTACTAAGACTGATAGGAAACTGTTGCCATGTTTAAGTTTTAAATTGGGGCCTGGAAAAGCTAGCTTCCTAGTTAGTTCCCTGGCTGCCCAGCACACTTATCAGTGATCCTCTTCGCTTACCCTGTACTCAGCGAGGATTTGGGAAGCTGGAGCTGCGGGCTCTATGTTCTCTCTCTGCCTCTCTTTTACTGTATATTGAATTATTTAAATTTTGTTGATTATATCCAAACTTGGGATACAGTAATTTTTGTTTTTCAAATAATGTTCCTATTAACTGAAATAGCACTTGGGGTAGAATCACAGCCTATGACCATGGCATCTCAGAACAGGCTGCTCTGAGCACAGGTCCTTTATCCTCAGCGCTTTCAGTGTTGGACCTCTCAATGCAATTTCCCATTGTCACTTGCACATCCCCTGATATCATGGCTGCATATTCATGGCTGAGCAAGATCAACAAAATGACAGTTTGACGCGGACGATTAGATTTTTGTATTGTCTTATAAATGTCTTGATGACCTAATCCAGAATCATATAAAGGAACAAATATGCAAAGCAAATGTGTTTTTATGGGCTCCTATAGGTTTAATAAATGATACTTAGAAGATTATCATAATCAGAATTTTTCTAGTCATTTTTATTGAAGCATGTAGCAGTTCTACCCAATAGAAATAAATGTGCCCAAGTCCTAAGTTTATTTGGAGAAATTTTTCCAAACAAACCTGGAGTGCTTGATTACGAAATATATTACAGTTCCTAATGTTTTCTTTTATTCCAATACATCTGTCAATACTAATTTTTCACATTTATTTTCCCAAAATAGGGTATCACATTTGATGAATTCAGGTCATTTTTCCAGTTTCTAAACAACTTAGAAGACTTTGCAATAGCTCTCAATATGTATAACTTTGCAAGCCGTTCTATAGGACAAGGTAAGAATCATCTTTCAAAATGGCAGTGTCAAAACAGCCCTACCTTCTTCTTCTTCCCAGAGGTTTTGGTAACAGGCTAGTGAGATATGTTTGATCATGCCTCAGCTTTCCTCAAAGCCTGGTTTTTATCATTTCTGTGGGAAATCAGTTCTGAAACCTAAAGTTATGGAGAGTCTAAGGAAATATTCTGATTTATTACTGGACTTATATTTGGCCTTCATATTATAAGGGAGAACAAATAATATTTATTGTAAAAGGTCAAAGAAGAAAACTCATAACTACTTGGTAACATCAGGGAACAGATATCAACTCATAGAAGCTGCTGCTGGCCATTCACCAGTTCCAGGAATTCTCATGATCTTAATCAGAAACCAGAGATACATGAGCAGCACCTCTTAGCCATTAACTTATACTAACGGGTTTTTCAAGAGTGATACATAAAATTGATTCTTTTATTTATTTGCAAAAAAGCACATCTGTCATATAACTTGAAATACTGATGTTCCTGGGACTGCCTCTGTCTTTGTTCATAGGTTGGCCAAATCCTTCTAGGTTCTCTCCCTTAGAACCTTGTCCTTACTAAAAGGACCCTGCTGTGTAGGATTTGTTCACATCTTTAAGGCAATTTTCCTGCCTCTGCCAGATCTATTTTGTTAGATTTCAGACTATAGTCTTGAAATTTTTTTTATGCTCAACTCCTAGGGGAATGTGAAACTGCACCCTAACTATTGATGCCAGTTACTTCTCTCAGAAGCAGAGACAGGACAGGGGTAGTGACCATGTGGGGGTGGGTTCAACTCCCAGCTTTTGTGTACGCTCACTTAGTCATTGAATAAAAGAAACCTGAACATTCTTTCATAGCCATTCTTTTTCTAAACTGTGTGTTCAAACATTGGAAGGCATGTCTCAACAAGTGAAATCTATATACTTAATATATGATATATATCATATATTTAATATGTAATATATCTTACTGGAATAATATACGCTTTCAAAAGAAATTAGTATCGGTGTATTTGGTTCAGAGCAGAAGGTTGTTCTTTTATTTTAAGGAACTAGAAAAGAGGAGAAAGTTTGTGTTCCCTTTTCACATGTTTGGAATAATATCTGCGTGTTCCTTTCCTTGCTGCTTTCAGCACGCCTACTAAAGACTATTGCAGTAGACACCTAGGCAGCATACCCTCACTAGCTCTTCCTGAAACACACAGAAGACTTCTCTAAAACAAAAATCACAACTGCTGTGGACAACTTCTCAAGTTTCCCAGCTGTCTATAGGAGAGTATGAAGGTTCCCAACCCCACCATCTATGCAGCATTTCCTCGCTACCCCCCAGATCCTCTGTTCTCTGAGATCTACCTCAGCAGATTGCTCATTGTCCACATACTCCCTGGTCCCTTCAGGTTCGCTCATCTGTCATTTCTCATTCCCACAGCTAAAACCATCCATCCTTCCGGGCTTAGCTCCAGTACACAATCCTAGCCTTTTGAAGTCATTGCCTGCCCTTTTCTCCATCCTTCTGTGTCTGCACTGTAGATAGAATTAATCACGCATCTCCAAATACACGGAGCACTTTACCCAGACCAATGACGTAAACCTTTTTCCCTGGGAAATATTAGTTTTCATCTAATGCTTTAATTCTTTAATCCATTTCTGTGTATAAAGATTCAATATCTGTTTATACATGTGTGTCTAGTTTTCCCAACACTCTTGGTGAAATTAATTAATTTCACCATGTTTTGTGTGATCCTGTGTAATGATTATTTCTGCAAATCCTGTCTCCCATCTCAACTGTTTCTCAGGGATTTGTTTATCATAATAGCCTCTGCAGTGTCTCTTCCTGATGGTTCCTACTCATTCAACATTCCTTGTTAAGGGTATGTTATTGCCCTTGCTCTCTTCGTTACAGCCACAGTGTCTTCTTTTTCCCTGACTGAAAGACATTTGCAGTATACCTTCATGGCTCATGCTTACAAAATACTTTTTACAACCTCTGCAATAATTACCATCATGTGCTAAAATACTGCTTTTTCTTTTTTATGACATTTATCTAGATGAATTTAAGCGTGCTGTATACGTAGCTACTGGACTGAAACTTTCACCACATTTGGTGAACACTGTCTTCAAGATTTTTGATGTTGACAAAGATGACCAATTAAGTTATAAAGAATTTATTGGGATTATGAAAGACAGACTCCATAGAGGGTTCCGGGTAAGCCTGCAGATTTCAAGCCTCTTGATAATTTGTTTTAAATCTAAGTTCAGAAAAAAATTATGTGAAAATTTAAGGCTATAAACATGAAGTGCTTATTTTTTAACCTGCTTTCAAAAAATGTAAGGTGATAAAAGATAAATTTTTGAAATATATTAGTAAGTTTGATTGCTTATTTTTATGTTCAGTTGGGGGATATCTTTATTGCTGTGTAGAGGAAGGGTATGGTGGCTTTGTTTTGATTTTTTCCTTAGTTTTCCCATTAGCTTTCAGACTCGCTAGTAAATATCCCTCTTCCTCCTCCTGTACATCAGAAGCTTCCTGGAGGGAACCGAGGCTTTAAGTCAGCATGCATTCTCTATACTATGGTTTAAAATAAACTGAGAATCAGTTCTGTTTCCTTACTGTTTTTCTGATCAACATACTGACATACTAAAAGATAACGGGTTCATCCTTCCTTTTCCCAAAATCATTTTTTTTTAATTCCAGTTATAATGTGGCTTAATAAGTGTTTACACATCTGACATACTTAATGGATATTCCAGAAACAGAAGAGGAAAAAATCCTTTTAAAATTAACAGCTGGTATAGTGAGAGATAAACATTTTAAGTAGAAAAATCCATATATAGAAAAAAATATATCACCTCAGTCATTGAAATTCAAAGATTTGTTGAATGACTTTCTGCCCAAGCTGTCTTGAAAAAACTGCTGTTGTACTTAAGTGCCACCTAGTGGACACTAGAGACACTTTTAAGGATGGGCATGGAAATCCATTTATTATTCCTCAAAAAAAGAAGGTTAAGTTTAATATGACCCCCACTGTAAGCCTTTGGCATGATTTTCCCTCTTCAGCACAGTGACTCTCACTGTGGTCACTATTCCATGCACCTGCGCTTCGTCATGGCTTACTTGTGTTTACACACAAGCTTTACAATTTTGAAGGGACAAATATACTCATTGTCTGTTTTTATGGGATACATCTTGTTAGATGAATGCATTGTGGGGTAATCTAATTCATGTAATCTCATACTTGTTTATAGTATCAGCTGTTGGATTCTATTTGTGAGCAGTTCTGAAATGCACATGATTGTTAGCCTTGGTCGCCATTCTGTGGCCATCTTGAGAAGGCATTTCTCTTCTCTGACTGGAACACTGTATCTGTTGGTTCAGTTGTTCCTCTGTCTACCAACCCTCCCAGGCTCTGGTAACCAGCAGCATGCTGCTTGCACAAGTTTGGCTTACAGTCAACATATAAATTAAATAATGCTGTGCGTACATTTGAACATTTGTAATCCTTTATTCCACAGGGTTATAAAACAGTCCAGAAGTATCCGACCTTCAAATCCTGCCTGAAAAAGGAACTTCACAGCAGATAAGTATGTTAGCTTAGGCTTATCCTAGCTGTTTCAATAATTATGAAGAATCACCATTTTTTTATAATGTCTAGACATTAGATCTGGGTTAGATCTTAGTGGTAGAACACATGTTCAATCCCATGTACCACAAGAGAAGAGAGTAGCTAATAGAAATCTAATTATCACCTACAATTTGTGGAGACAGTGAGGGTATTGTAGTTTAAAAACTGTATGCTAAGGAGCTGAGGCCATTGCTGAGTTGGTAGAATGCTCAGCTAGCAGGCCTGAGGCCCTGTGCTCTGTCTCCAGAACCACATAAAGCACAGGTGGTACATTCCCTTTTCCCAGCATCTGAGACAGAAGCAGGAGAATCAGAAATGCAAGGTCATCCTCAGTACCATAGCCACTTCCAAGCCACACTGGGGCACAGACATATTCTCCCAAGAAAGGAAAAAGGAAGGAAGAATTTTTCATTAGATTTGTAGTTCCCTGTGCAGGTATAAGATAATAAATCTAAGCTGTACTTTGTAACATAGGACTCATTCAGAACAGGTGTCACTCCTTTGGAGGAACTTGCTTCTAAATTGCTGCCACAAAAATGGCAGCTTTACTGTTAAGGAGTTTAGGTGCGTGCCAGTATAGTAAGCATTCCTCTTCATCCTCACACGTCTCTCACCTTGCCTGCATTGCTGAGGACCATCCTATGGCCTTGGGCATTCGAGGCAGCCACTTTATCACTGGTTTACACCCCTAGCTTTGGAGTTTTGTGGGTTTGAACTCAGGATTCTCTTGCTTCTATCATCAGAGTACAGGGGTTATAAGCCTTAGCAACTATGCCCCGTACTAGATTGATAACTCATTTAACAACATAGAAGAGTCAAGAATTAGAAAGTGATTTCTCAGGATAACTTGCTAGTGAATGACAAACCATGATTTGAGCTGCCTTTGTTCTTATGGTAAAATAGTTTTTTTACTTAATGTTATCACCCTTCATTGTAGTAACTGAGGATGAATCAGGAAGTCATATCAATAATAACTGTATCATGTTGGTCGGCTGTGTTAGATTTCCATGATAGAGGTTTTGTTGCTTATTTTAGATGAGTATATGTTCTTATGTATTATTTCTTACTATTTCTCTCAAGTTTGAAGCACTTTATACGTTCCCCCAAGTGACTTTTAAAAAGAACATTTGCTTGATAGCTGTATATTTCCTGTGGCTATGATAAAATACTTTAGCAAAAGCAACTTAAGGGAGAAAGGATTTATTCTGGCTTACAGTCTAAGGGTACCCAGTCCCTCCTGGCAGGAAGACCCAGAAGCATGGAGCAGCTGCTCACACCTCATCACAGTCGGGAAGCAGAGAGCAGTCACCGCATCCTGCCACTTACTTCCTGTCCCCATTTATACTACTCAGAATCCCAGCCAGAGAGCAGTGAATCACCCACCTCACATTATGCAGCCAGTGTAACTCCCACAAGCATGTCCAGTGGCCTGTCTCCCAGGTATCTATAGCTCCTGTCAAGTTGACAACACTAACCAGCCATCACACTTTGTCAACTCTGAGAAATGTAAAAGAAATGGCCACGTTGTTACTTTCCTTGCAGAATTTATGTTGCTACTTTTCTCATAGAATTTATGAGCTTTCAGGATGCTACTGTTTGTTTTTGTCTTTCTAAAAAGAACCTGCAGTGCTCAGTATTTTGTGAAGTAGCTTTGAAGTCTTGCAATATATAGAATCCACATTGGGAAGTAGTGGTCCAAAATACTGAGAGAAGATCAGGGCTGTTTATCTGTTTATGTAACTGTTGTGATTCAGCTGCCTAGGGTCTTCCATACTTGTATTCTGAGAAACTACGCTACCTTACGAAACAAGACCAATGCACTGAAAGAGTAGTGCCATCCCTGAACACAGTGTCTCACTCTGCTTGTAATAGCTTCACACTAACACTGATTGTCCGTATTAGTGCACAGAACCCTAGCTTAATGTGATTGCCTACATCTCTACCTCTCTGAAACTGGGTGTCTAAGGAGTTTCTTAACAAAGTCTGAACCTGGGCCACTGAGACGTCTTAGTGGATAAATGTACTTGCCACGAATCCTCAACCTGAATCCACGTGCTGGAACTGATCATGGATCCCACATGCAGACCATGGCACATTCACATGCTACCTTTATGCACAAATAGAAAAAAAAAGAGAAATACAGTTTTTAAAAAGCTATGTGCTTGTAAACTAAAGTTTTTTTAAATACTTGATTCTTTTATTTTATATGTATTGTTTTTAATTAGATGCCTGACTGCTTCATATAATTTCTGTAAACATTAAATGTCATTATCTTGACTTACGTAAGTTCTGCTTTATGTGTTATGTGTGTGTGTCTGTGTTTTAACTAGATCCTCCTAAACAAGAATTGAAGGATTATGATCTCTGTGACCAGGCAAGAAGCAAGATTTTGAGTGGATCCAGTGTAAGGTCAGAGCATGCAGAAAATGAAGGGAACATGAAATGCTATGAAATTTACATTTTTTTTCCTTGAGTGAAGTTTGTCACCGTCAATCAGGAAAACTGCATCTTCTAATAACAAACAGGAATTGAGCCCCGAGCACCACCAGAGAAAACTTGCTGCAAACACTAAATATAATCAGCTGAGCTTTCACCGTTATTGACTGGTCTAACTTCTTCATTCCCTACACATGGGTAGTCCTGATGACTATCTGAGAATATTTAGATTGTTTATTTATTTATTAGAAATGTCCTTTATTTCAGAATAATTTATGAAGGATAGAATATAGATGGAAACATATTTTCTTCAGGTTTGCACTGTGAGCGTGTTTTCATACAGTGAATATTGCTTCAGGTTTGTTTTGGGGCCTACAATTGTTAGTAAGTCTCTGTTATTTATCTAGTATTTAATTATACTGAAGTCATTTCAGAAAACAAGTGAAAATTTACTAAGCAATAGGATGGTTTACATTGTACTTTCAGCTTTTAAAAGTACTTATATAATATACATTGTTGGATTTATGTAAATTTTTGGGTTTTTTTTTTGCTGTTCTTTGTGTGTTTTGTTTTGTGTGTGGTTTTGTACCAAAGCCAACAGAAATTCAGGTATTTTATTTTAAAAGAAATTTAGATTTTTTTTAAGAAAACACAGCAGTCAATCCTGGGATTCCTACTTGCAGCTGTGACATATGGAAATAAGATCAGTAACATATTGGATATTGTTAATATATGTCTATAGCATCAAAACTAATATAAATGGCCTAGAAGGTTGATGTATATTTATTTAATAGGTAGAAAATAGTGTTTTGTTTCTTGAAAAAAAGGACCACATGCAGAATTGATCTAAACAGTCAATAGTGATGAATCATTTATATGTAATCCATTGTATCAAAACACTATGTCTTAAAAGGGAAAATAAAACTTTCTCTTGAAAAACCTCACTTGAGAGACTAGCCAGAATGGCTCACAACTCTAAGTCTGCCTAGGCTCTAGTGCAAGCGAGCTCAAGCCATCTCACCAACTTTGAAGAACCCTGCCAACAATAAAACTTCTAGGGAAGTAAGTAGCTTAGTGGCAGAGGGTTTGCCTGCCTTAGGTTTAATTCCCAACTCTGAAAAAGAAAGGGAAGGGAAAGGAAGGAACAGGAAGGAAATGGAAAGAAAGAAATAGAAAAAGAAAAAAATAAATCCTAGATTTTCACGTTGAAAAAAATTTTAGAATATTTAATAGAACTTTGGCTACCTGATAAAATTGGTTTATACAAGGGTATATAAAATAATACAATGAGTTTAAGCTAATATATTTATGTATTGCATGTCAAAAGATTAATAGATTCATTTATCTTCTTTTATAAAATGTACGTAGTATAAATTGCATACACTCCAACCATTACTTTGCTTTTACATAGGAAAATAGGAAACACTGGCTGTATTTTAAGTTATTGAATGTGAAATTGGTCTGCACCAGCCTATTTGTAAACTGTTATTTTGGTGTTATTAGTATTGATTATGTTTTTTAGACCTTTCCACATTCTTTGTCTGATATTATTTATTGCACCAATAAAGAAATAGAAATGTGCAAATGCAGTCGAGTTATAGTTATGTGATTTCACCTGCTTTGAAACCTTAGTCACTTGATGACAGAACAGAGATAGCTACCTACACATTTATCGCCTCTTAAGCCTAGATTGTTCTTGGTAATACATGGTGTGTAAAATAATTGAAAAAATACAAATTAATCTTTGTCTATTAGTTATATTATCACACAAACGTGGAAACCTTGTAAATATGGATTAAAAATTAAATAACCTATTTAAAGATCCTTTATGTCAGTATCCCAAGAAAATAACATAATATATTCACAGCCACTAATCCTTATTGCTTTATTGTGAATGAGTTTGTTTATAAGGTGACAAGATAATATAAAAATGAGAGTAAATAAAATACCCTGACCAATTAATATGGTAAGAGAACAACAGTGAGCGACAATGGCTTCCCTCATATCACTCTTAAATCTTCTTGCCTATAAAATGGAGGTAGGAATAACACGGGGGGGGGAGGTAAATCAATCGAAATGGTTTTGAATGTTTGCAAATAATGCACTAAGTGCACGGGTGTTAGCTTCAAATGTTCCTTCTACAAATTGCACAACTTTCGCAAACATTAAACTCGGAATAAAATTTTAGTGTTATGCTTCGTGAAGAAAGCCTACATGATAAATGGTATTTGGTACTTCTCAGAATAGTTTATAATAAATTGTTTTAGCTTAAAATCTGATTGTTACTATAAAACTTAATTGTAAAGCTATGTCTTACACTGTTATATTATGTTAAAATCAATTTACCACCTTTGAATCAAGAAACATTGCAGTTTGCTATTGAGTATATCAGTGAGCCAATTTTGTGCTGAAAATATCACTTTCTAAGGTAGGAAATCTTAATGGGTTACCACTGGTCCTAAACCCATTGCTATAGAAGTGCACACCATCAAACTAAACTCATGACTATCTCAGTAGATACATACTTTGCAGTCTTGGGGCCTTCTCAGAGCATTTCAGAGATGCCTGTCTTATAGAACTGTGACTATTCGTACTAGAAGGATTGTCAGGAAGTTTACCTGTGACTTCAGGGAGTCTCTATCTTGTTTCACAGAAGGAATCATTTAAATGGCTCAGAATGAAGTCAAAACTGTAGTAGCCCATATTACTAGAGTTGTTATTTTCTAGGAGTCGTCTTGTTAAGGGAACGTCTAAAATTACATTTTACAGGTGTATTAGTTATCTTCCTCTCCTGTTTTGTTTTGTCTTGGTATTAGTTTCATTAGACAGTCTGACTTTGTAGCCAAGGATGGACTCTTGGTTCAAGCAGTGCTCTGGCCTAGGTCACCTGAGCTCTTGGACTGTAGATGTGTATCACCTCATCCCACCTCTGCCGTCAGTACACAAACACTAAAGGGTATGAAGAGGTGATTCCTCTTTTACTCAGTAAGTACAATCAAATCTTAAGTGGTCAAAAAGTATTTTTTTTTCTTTTTGGGCAGCATTTTTACTTTGTTAGGAGCTCATGAAAAAATGGCTTGGCATTATCACACGTTATAGTCTGTGAAATATCACATTTTATAGTCTGTGTTATAGTCTGTTCAACATGGGTGTTGAACGGCCCTTTCACAGGAGTGACCTAAGACTATTGGAAAATATATATATTTACATTATGATTCATAACAGTAGCAGAATTACAGTTATGAAGTAGCAATGAAAGTAATTTTATGGTTAGGGGTCACCACAGCATGAGGAACTGTATTAAAAGGTTGTAGCATTAGGAAGGTTGAGAAACACTGCATTATATTTTAAAAGACAAAGTGCTATAAAGTCTCATTTTCAGTCAAAATTAATAACTTTCTCCACTTCAGTTTGCTAAAATGTTCATGTACCGACTCATTGACTTGTCACTAATTCATTCTAGATCCATCTCTGAAACTGTACATTGCTAATGAATTTGAACACATCTCACTATACTTAAGTCCTTTATTATTCTGAAAATTCCTGCAGATGGTTTCCATCTCACTGACCTATCTAGAGTGGCTTCCCTCCCCTGGAGCAGAGCTGTCATTCTGGGACCTCCGTCCCCAGGACATCCTCTGTACTTTTCTCTTTCTGAAGTGAGAATGCCCTGTAGCCCCTGAGGGGAGTTGCATAGTGACTGAATTTTTTAGCTCTGCACCTTGAGAACACCTTTATTGTCCCTTCACAGTTGGGGAATAGTCTGTGCAGAGACAGCAGTCTAGCATGGCACACTCATCTCTCCCTCCAGATTATGGAATCATCATCCATTGCCTTCCAACTTTTAGCATTGTTCTCAAGACGTTTGATGTCATTCCTGTTATCCTTCCCTCCTGGAAGCTGCTGACTCTTGCTAATTCCTGTTCTGTAAGGTTTTTCCTGGCTGTGCCTTGATACGGGTTTTGTATCCATTGCTTATGCTGAGCACAGTAGTTTTATCTGTGGGTTCAGAGCATCCTGTTTGAGAAGAGAATATTCTCACCTTTTGTTCTGGGTTTTTCTGTCTTCTCTTTTGTTTCTTATACTCTCTTACTTATTTCTAATTGTCTGATTTCAGTGTCTTTGATGTTTTCTCCTACTGCCTTGTTCTGTTTTGTGTGTTTGGGTGTGCCTCTCACATTACAGGTTTTTGTCCAAACTGTGATGGTTCTTTGCTGTACACGTGTATTTTATAACACACTGGGATCTGTGTGGATAGGATGAGCTTTTAATGGATGGATTTCCCTCTCTGCTCTCCTGGCCAGCCTGTTTGTCTATAAAGCCCCTTTCCTGTCGGCACTGACAAGCCTTCTCTCTGACTGCTAGAATTCTGCCAAGTAGTTCAAAGCTTCATTTCTATTTTGCTCAGAGCTGAATACACAAAAAAATTTGAATCTCCCTTTCTTTCTCTGGGCTTTTCCATCTGTGCATAGAATCTTTTGGAGGCTTTGAAGCGTTTCCTAACAGCATATGTTAGGGAGGAAAAAGAATGCAAGACCCTGAGATACAAATGGTTCCAAAACAGCACTTCAGCCAGCCACACTATTTCCAGAGCAAGCTTTGGAGAACTCAGCTTTGGGAACCACCTCCTTCAGAGTTCTCCCCTACTGCAGTTATTTGGAGCTAAATTAGTTAGCTACTGCCCATTTCTGAAACTTAAAAAAAAAATTTCCTTTTCCTGTACTACCATTTCCAGTTTTCTTCTCTCTCTTTCTTTCTTTCTTTCTTTCTTTCTTCTTTTCCTCTCTTTCTTTCTTTCTTTCTTTTTTGTTGTTTTTGTTGTTGTTGTTTTTCAAGACAGGGTTTCTCTGTGTATCCCTGGCTGTCCTGGAACTCATTCTGTAGACCAGGCTAGCCTCGAACTCAGAAATCCGCCTGTCTCTGCCTCCCAAGTGCTGGGATTAAAGGAGTGCGCCACCACTGCCCATCTCAGTTTTCTCTAAGAAAACTTTACTTAAAAAAAAAAAAATCAGTTTCTATTGTTATTTTAGTATCACTTCAATGAATGGCAGAAATGTGTGTTCCAAACAACATACAGTATTTAAACTCTGTTCAGAATGTATCTGGAAATACATACATAAGAAACTTAAAAATAGTTGTCACTGAAGAGTGGGACTTTGTGGTTTTTATATTTATATTATTAAGCTACTGCTGAACGGTTTTGAATATTTTTAACATGACTACATTTATGTTTTTTAAAGATTTATTATTTTTATCTTATATGTATGATTGTTTACCTATATGTATGTATGTCACCTCGTGTGCAGCTAGTGCCCTGAAAGTCCAGAAGATGGAGTCAGGCCCTCTGGTACTGGAGTTAGATTTAGTTGTGTGTCTCCATGTGGATGCTCAGAACCAAATCTGGGTCCTCTAAAAGAGCACCGACTGCTCTTAAACACTAAGCCTTACCTCTCCAGCCTCACTGACTTCAAGGAAATTCAAAGTTTAATTTCTTCTTGATTATATGTATATGGGGGGAGGGGTACCCACAGACTCCAGAAAAAAGTAGCAGATCCTCTGTAGTTGGAGCTACCCGGTTATGAACCATCCAGCACTAGTACCAACCCTGGGTGCTCTGTGAGAGCAATGCTTGGTCTTACTCCCTTCATTTATCCCTCAAGACAAGCAGAGTCTTCAAAGTTTAGGATCTCAGCTTGATACATATTTGTAATCATATTTATTTGTAAGACACTAAGCTTAATGGCAACTGTCCTTCAGCATGGTGTTTCTGGAGACATATTTCTAAACAAGCAGCTTGAAGTCGGCAGGTAGAGGAAGCAGGTAGCTTAGTGTAAACAGATTAATATGATAGCAGGTTTTAGGCCAGGTAAAATGAGAGTTGAGGCCCAAGTGGAAGACAATGAAGACATCTACTCCATGCTGCGTATTGCTCTGCGTGTACTATGCAAGTTAAAAGTTCACACTGAAACCTACCGGTAAGTGCTGTGAAATCTACCCTCTTGCATGTCATCGCTCTGTACTGAGAAGTGCTCAAGAAAGAGGGTATCTTATACACCGTTGGTGCCGTAATATTTTATTACAGTGAGTGTACAGAAGATTAGCTGTCTCAAAGATCCTTTTGAAATCAGATTGCACATCAAAACTGCATTGTGCCTGCTAAGCAAGTAAATTTCAGAAAGAGGAGAAGGTGATGTCAAGACTTATTGCAAAATGAACAAATAAAAGAGTAGGATTTGCCAGTTGTTCAGCCTATTAAAGCATAGCCCCGAATGTCAGCCCGCATTTGTCACGTGCACTTCTGAAATTTACAGCAGCTCAGCCCATGCAAAGGATTGTTTAGCTTATTCTTGCACTGAGAAATAAATTAGGAAACAAACAAATGCTAACTAGGTTATGCCAACCATTCCGTTTCATCTGCTTTTGATCCTCACATGGCTGACCAGAAAATTAACATTGTGTTTTTGCTCCCAAGCACATGCATTTTCAGAAATGAAACTTAATGTCTATCTACAATTGTTAGACCCCAAACTGCATTGCATGTTCCAGTGGTTATAGTATCCGGGAATATTTTACCCCTTTAAAAGGCAAA